TTGCCTGTAAAAGAGTCAATTATTATTCGATTTTCATAAAAGTGACACCATTTGATGTGTAATGTCAATTTTAACTAGGTCAAACCAATTTAACATTTTCAATATCACCGGAAATGACGTAATTTGGGCAAAAATTGTATTTATAGCCTTCGAAACCAGTAATTTATTCAAATGCGTCATATTTGTTATTTGTTTAAAATTTTGATATTTGATTCAAATCAACTAATACAATGAACCCTTACGATCATATAGATATCACAAAATGGTTTCTAACTTGTTCAGTTGCGGAGAAATAGGCAATTTTCAACAGGTCACTTTTTAAGGTTTTTTTGTCAATAAAAGTGTCAATTATTATTCGATTTTCATGAAATTTTCACTGTGTGATACATAATGCCATTTACGATATCATACAAGTAATTTAAGATTTTCATTATCACCGGAAGTAACGTCATTTTGGCAAAAACTGTATTTTTAGCCTTCAAAACAGATATTTTATTCAAATGAATCAGATTTGTAATGTTTTTAAAATTATGATATTTGATTCCAATCAACAAATAGAATGAACTCATTCGATCATACAGATACCTCAAAATGGTTTCTAACTTGTACGGTTGCAGAGAAATAGGCGATTTTCTACAAGTCATTTTTCAAGGTTTTTGGTCTATAAAGGTGGCAATTATTATAGGATTTACATAAAATTTTCAACATGTGATGATGCTATTTCTGATTTCATAAACCAATTTAACATTTTCATTATCACCGGAAGTAATGTAATTTTGACAGGATCACTGACATGTAGCAAATGAATTGATTGCTGGATTTGGTTGTTTCTGCGTCCATTTTATTTCATGTGTGCAATGCTTATGTGGAAACCTGTTTAACGGTTTCATTGGTACCGGAAGTGACATAAGTTCAAGGGTAACGTGGCACCGGTGAAACCCGTCATTACTGCTTCGCAGTTCTAGTTATTATTCTTCTTTTGTTTTGAGTAGATCTCAGCAACTGATTGTCGGATCGTTACGATTTCTTCGGTTTTATCGGAAAAGTGGGTGTGACTTAGAGGATAAAGCTATTTTGAACGTTCTGCGACAATGCGAAATGTCCGAAATCACCGAAGCTATCGTTTTTAGAAATATTGCAGTAATTTTAACAATAATCATTGGATTTTAACTTTCGATGCATTTTGGCATAGCCGGAGACGGGGCACATAGCTACGCTACTTTTTATTTTTGATTTTCGGCAAATCTTCGCAGATATTAGGCGCTAAATTTAGAAAATTTAAATTTTTACAAAAAACTTTTTTATTTATGAATATTTTTTAATCGTGTTTTACACAAATATAACGAGTCCTCTGACTTGGGCAAAAATGTGAAAATTTTTTGTCTCGGTAATTTTCCTTGGCCCCCATTGGCTAATTCAGTTTTTCAGTTCTAGATTAATTATTTATTGTTCGATTTGTATAAAACAAAGTTCATATGCCCCGTTGTCTCAATTGTCATTTTTTTTGTTACCAATAGTGTTATCTGTCGGCCCCGGAAGTGGCGTAAATTGACAAAAAACTACAATTTTGACAGTTAGGTACCATTTTTCGAAAGCAAATATTATTTTTTTCAAATCTGGTATAACTGAAATTGTGCGCCTTTTAAAGGCGCACAAAATGTTGGGACCATGTTTTTTAATTTCGATTCCGTTTTCGGGCTATTTCGATTAAAAGGTGAAAAAAGGTGTAAAATTAAGCTATTTACAACCCATCCAGCGTTTTCATATTTTAAAATATTACTTCGTAACTTTCATAAACTCGTAGCAATAATCTATACGGAGAGAATGTATGTGAAAATTAATTTGTAATATGCGCAGTTGCCGAGAAATGGGCAATTTTGCATGAGTCACTTTTTACGCTAGTTTGCCTGTAAAAGAGTCAATTATTATTCGATTTTCATAAAAGTGACACCATTTGATGTGTAATGTCAATTTTAACTAGGTCAAACCAATTTAACATTTTCAATATCACCGGAAATGACGTAATTTGGGCAAAAATTGTATTTATAGCCTTCGAAACCAGTAATTTATTCAAATGAGTCATATTTGTTATTTGTTTAAAATTTTGATATTTGATTCAAATCAACTAATACAATGAACCCTTACGATCATATAGATATCACAAAATGGTTTCTAACTTGTTCAGTTGCGGAGAAATAGGCAATTTTCAACAGGTCACTTTTTAAGGTTTTTTTGTCAATAAAAGTGTCAATTATTATTCGATTTTCATGAAATTTTCACTGTGTGATACATAATGCCATTTACGATTTCATACAAGTAATTTAAGATTTTCATTATCACCGGAAGTAACGTCATTTTGGCAAAAACTGTATTTTTAGCCTTCAAAACAGATATTTTATTCAAATGAATCAGATTTGTAATGTTTTTAAAATTATGATATTTGATTCCAATCAACAAATAGAATGAACTCATTCGATCATACAGATACCTCAAAATGGTTTCTAACTTGTACGGTTGCAGAGAAATAGGCGATTTTCTACAAGTCATTTTTCAAGGTTTTTGGTCTATAAAGGTGGCAATTATTATAGGATTTACATAAAATTTTCAACATGTGATGATGCTATTTCTGATTTCATAAACCAATTTAACATTTTCATTATCACCGGAAGTAATGTAATTTTGACAGGATCACTGACATGTAGCAAATGAATTGGTTGCTGGATTTGGTTGTTTCTGTGTCCATTTTATTTCATGTGTGCAATGCTTATGTGGAAACCTGTTTAACGGTTTCATTGGTACCGGAAGTGACATAAGTTCAAGGGTAACGTGGCACCGGTGAAACCCGTCATTACTGCTTCGCAGTTCTAGTTACTTATTGTAATTCTTAATTATTTTTGTCAACTTCTTTTTCCGCCGTTTACTTGCGGAGTCTTTTGTACGTTGACACCCCTCAATTTGATCAGGAAATAACAACCGTTCCCTCACTTAAGCTGGCACACAATAAGCTGGCAGATAACAGTCGGGTTGCCAATTAGTGATACCCTGACAATAGCCAAGTGCTTGCCCCATGGGCGTTTTTCGGGTAATCCAGTATTTTTCTAGTAAGATTGGGTGTCTCTACTTTCCATATATACCAAATTTGACATACTTTTATGTGAAATAACCACCCGATAAATACTTCTTTTGGGAAATTTTCTTTAAAAGAAAAGTAGTGTTTTATTAGATTTCGGGCACTTTATTTGCCAACTAAACGAAGTAATAATTTTTGTTTTCATTTTACCCGTCTGCCCGAAAAGTCAGATTGTCTGGGCATGGATGGCTGCTGTGGGTGTTTAAAACAGTGCCTTGTAGATCCGACTCTCGATTTAATCTATTATTTATGTGGGGTAGGGAGAATTAATTCCACAACCCGAGTACCCGTTCAACCGATTCTCGTTTCAATAATAATATAAATAATCATATGAATACACGTAGATTAAAGGGGAAACTTGAAAGTATATAAGCTTATCCGCTGATTCCAAACATAACCATCAACTCAAAAATGTTATATGATAACTTTGGAGATTTAAAACGTGCATTGAAGTTATAGACTGGCCTATTTCTATTGCTTGCGGATATAATTTAAACTAATACAGACACAAGCAAAGGAAAATCAGTAGGAGTCCGACTAATTAATCTAGGCTTCATATGGTAAACACTTACCTTAAGATCAATCCATTTAATAAATGTTAGAACCACATGGTTTTTTTTTTTTAGAATACTTTTGATATTATATGGTCTTGTGTCGAGAGAAGTGTATAAATTGTGAACGTAATAATATTCCTATTTCGTTTCGTAAAAATGTTTATTTCGTTTCCCAAGATGTGTGTTCCTAAATTTTGTTCCTCAAGTACCCTCACGTCTCTACTATTTTCATAGTAAAACAGATCGGCAGAACTTTGGTGAGATTTAAGACCATTGTTAATGATATTCATTTTGGATTTATAATCTGTTAGCTTTTTATAGCCGATTTAGAGTTTGGTTCTTGTTAAATGTACGATTTTATTGAAGACGAATGGCAATTGACTCAACAAAACAACTTTTCTGAACTTGATTTTTGTCTGTGAAGGTCATTTGACATGATTTGTATTCTGGGCCATACTATCTACTTTATAAATCGTAGATTTCCATTCATTGCCAAACTGAGTAATAAACAATTCTAAAACTCTTACCACTAACCTTTGCATTACGGTATATTCCGAAAAAATGTAGTGTTAATATCATGAATGTAGATTATACTTTTTTCATTAGTCCATGTTCATTGTAACCAAGTAATAATTATTGGACTGTTGTTCTAAGGAATGATCAGAATAACATACATCTACATACAGGAGGTCCAACTTTTTTAGTCCTATCTAACTCGAGAAAAAAGAATGGCAACATTACGGTATTGAACAATGTTGTTATACGCCCACATTTTCATGTGGACGTATATTGTCGTCACCTCCATCCGTCCACACTTTGTTTTTGGACACTCTACAGCACTACAGGTCACAATTTTGATCTGATTTTGACAAAACTTAAAATATAGGTCTGTCTCCCAAAGATCTTGGTTCCTTTCGATATTGGCATGTATCGTACCATAACTGTATGGATTATGGTCCCTGATTCAGTGATTGTACAAACGATCACGTTTTCAGCTTGTGGACACAATTTTCACCCAATTTGATGAAATTGAAATGCATGTTTATAACTCATGGATCTTGGTTCCTTTCGATAGTTGTGCATATCGGATTGGAACTTCCTGAATTATGGTCCCTAATTGTTTAAAAAAACGTTTGAATATATCACCGTTACACACTAAGATCTTGATTCCTTTTGTTAATCGCGCATATCTGAACGTAACTTCCTGGATTATGGCCCCTGGTTGTTGGAAAAATTGTATTTTTAATTACTGAAAACGGTGGTCAATCTGTAAGTTGTAACATTGCCATAATAAAATATAAAGGTTTTCCTTTCAGTGAAACTTGTTGCTAAAGATCTGCAAATATGGCTGGTGGACCGGTAGATGAATCCTTGTATAAATTTACTGGAATTCAAAAGCATTTTAATTCCTACACAGTTAGAGGAAAATTAGGGGTAAGTCACAGATTTTGAGAATCGTATCAGTAAAGGGAATTACATTTATTAAGATTTTAAGATTGTAGAAATCTGTATTCTAATAACCATTCTCTTTACTTACTCTTCAACTATTAGGGTGTAGGGATGATGGCCAAATGGTCAGCGCGTGCGCATTGTCATTGTGTCAACTGACATGGTTTCAATTCCCTCGTTGTACGTGACGAGGAGTAGGGTCGTCTGTAGTGTCCAACCTCATGGGTTTTCTCCCACTGCTAAAGACCCCTACACGCAAGCAAATTATTGAACTAAAAAAAATTGAACCGTGTGTTAGTCCCAAAATGACCTAGTTTTGTCAAGTGGGCGTTAAACCCCATTAGGCTTCATTTTTAGCAGACATTCTAGATCAATAATTGTATTCCTTATTTATTTCAGTGGGTTGGAGCAACTTACGGAACATTATTAGGAATTTTTATTTATAAAAAATTAACCAAGAAATCAGATAAAAAATAGGCACCCAGAATTTTCGAATGTGATAGCTGTGCAGACTCGATATGAACTTTAGAAAATTTTGTTAAACTACTGTATTATTATGAGAAGAAATGTGTGAAATGAAAATCAGTAAAAATATTTTGTATCTTCTGTATTTTACTTCTCATGATGATAATGTTATAGAATAAACATAATTTCTTGCAGAGGTAAATAACTTTTGTGTAGTGAACAAGGATTTAAAATTCCAATCTGGGGCAATAAATATGAATGTGGGTTGTATCATCAATACATGTAACTTCTAGAGCAGTTCTTACTTTTATGTAAAATACCTACAATTCTTAAATTGAACAAACATTTTGGTTGCCATAATTTTTTTCATGGCACACATATTGTATTCTAAAATAGTGTTCAAGCAATTTGTGCTTAACTATTATGATCCCCCCCCCCCCTCTGTCCAGACACATCTATTGTATTCTAAAACAGTATTGAAGCAATTTGTGCATAACTATATGTGATCCCGTCCCCCTTGTCCAGGTAGACTAAGATTATTTATCACTGTCAACCTTTTGGATAATTTGGTGTTAAACATGTTTAGTAAGACACTGGCTCGCTAACCTGTAGGTCCCCATCTTCAATAGAAGGCTTGATCTCACTTTAACTCTGTACATCTTATCAAAGCCTTCACGTAATACTTTAGGTCACTAATTTTGGTTGGCTACCAATACAGATCTATATTTCGTTGCGGTTTTTGTTATTATTTTGATGGCCTCTACTACATAAAGATCTGACCAATTGTAGTGGGAGTCGCGTCGGGGTCATACGAGCAGCTTTTGACCCTATGACGTCAGACATTTGATTAAACAATCAGCGTTGACGTTTCTAGTAGGATACCCTCAGTTCCGTGCATCGCACGCCAAGAACTCGCTGCAACAGACTGTTTCATTGGTGGGGGGTTGGATGGGCGAATGGTTAGCAGTCTGTGCTGTATCATAAGGCCTGTCATTGAGTCAACTGGCGTGGTTTCGAATCCCCGCGGTTTTACGTGACAAGGAGTAGGATCGCCTGTCCAACCTCGTGGGTTTTCTCCGGGTCCTCCCACTGCCAAAGAACCCTACGCGCAAGCGAATTAAAATTGAACCATGTGTTAGTCCCAAAATGACCTAGTTTGTGTTGAGTGGACGTTAAACCCCATTTCTCTCTCTCTGTTTCATTGGCTAATCCATCACATTAACCAGAAGGCGGCTTACATAACAACTCTTCCAGATCCAAGTGTTGTAAAAACAAGCAAAACAAAATTTTGAACTATAAGAAAACAACGAAATAGGATCTGTTTTTTAATAAGATTGATTGGTTACTGGTACTTGTTCAAGGTTTGTTCTATGTCAAGGTAGCTGGAACTTATGCACATTAAACTCATTCTCCACTAAGTCTCGCTATCCAGCATTTGACACTGCTGCGGCTCACAGACTACACCGGTTTTCCCAGAGGTCGTTGGTCACGTGATTAACTACATGATGAAAATGGCATTTCAACATTTGTCAGAAAAGTTCTTGGCTTATAAACACTAAATGAGTTTTAGTAAATTTTAGGGGAAGTGTCATCAATTACTACTCCTCCAAAAAAACAATCTAAATTTGCATGTTTTGTGTGTATGTGTATTAGGCCTCACGATCGCGTTACAAAGGCAAAAAGATCCACATGTATATATATTCTAAAGTTAGCACAATGACATGCACAGTTTCGTATTAACAACCCTTTAACCAAGATATGTCGCGAAAGAGTAACATGTATATTTGTAAATACTCTATTATTTTCAATAAGTATGACCCCATTTCTATTTTAGTAATAGAAAGAAATATATTATCATTTATTTAGTTTCCATTGCCATTGTATTGTTTATCATTGTCTATCGATACCAAGAATCGTGGTAGTGTAGTCAAATGAGCCATTAGCAGAAGTTAGTGTCAATTGCAAGGGAAGACAACTCTGTTTTGGAGATTACTTTAAACTCGACTTTCAACAGCTGTAAATGTATCTATTCATTTATGTGTTTGTTTCACCTGTCTGTGGTAAAGGGAGATATTGTAGCTAACAGTTTGGGGAATTCAGACTAACTTGGCAATGTCCAGATGTTGGAAAACTCATTTGTTGCTTCAAGAATATTGTGGGTCCCATGTTCGATCCAGGTGTTGGCTGAAAAAGTTCATCAGGAATGTTCAGGTGTGATACATGACAGAAGATGGAGCAGAAAACCGAGGTCCCCTTTTCATTGCCTGACATCCTATCTTATTGGATATAGTAATGTGTGCACTACCAAAGAGCAAAAAATGAGGTTGGACAGACATTAAGGGGGACGGGGGGAAAGGCTGACAATTAATATATACTAATGTCCAAAAGAAAGTACATGTATACACTGTGCATTTTGTGCTGCATCAACCAAAGTCGTTTTTCCATGATATATGGTATTTGGGTAAAATGTCAATTTGTTTCACATTTTTATTTTGCTCAGAAATGTTGAGTTTGGACGCAAGAGACAAACTCAGTAATGCTTTATCAAATAGTCATATTTTTAGTGTGTATGTATACTTTCTTTTGGACATCAGTATAGCAAATCCCACTTTCCTAGAAATAATCAACAAATGTTTAGAATCGTAAATATTTTATCAATATACACATTTTATCAATATTACAAAAGTGTAAATAATATATACACACTATGTTCAACATAAATATATATACACCATGAAAGATGGACTTTCCACCCTCTCCCGCCTGATGGGCAGAAGAAACAACTTTCTAAATCTAAGTTATAGGTAAGCCTGCTGTGAAAAAAGTAAGCCTGTTTCTTCCTGGATGAGGCTAAAAGTAGCTTGAAGTGATTAAAAAAAACTGTGGAACGAAACGATTCGTGTAAGAGTTCACATTTCTGTAAAATTTTCATAAATATGATGACTTGACACTCGATGTAAAAATTATGGCTTTACCAGGACAGTTTTCTTGTTCATTATTCAAAACAACATTAAGTCTGCTCCCATATAAATCATTAGAACCTATAGATTAAATTCTAAATGCACCAATTTCAAGATAAAAGGGAGGGGCAACATCCAAGACTAGTAACCATTTTACATATCTAGCTAATCTTTAACTTGATCAATTCAGCACTTATTCCGATTCCCATCACAGCTATAGAAAAATTTGGCACAAAAACAATCATCATTAACACCTCCACTAATTAAAATTATTTCATATTTTTTTTCGCCACACCTGCTGACGGCCTGTTGGGAATAACACAATCTGTGATACCAAAAGTTTTCACAATTTCCTGGAATGAAAATTTAAATTTGTTATTCAGAACTTCCAAAAACAGGTTCAAAGCAATCAAACATAGGCAGCTAGATCTTAATTATATGTGGCATGCAGTTGTGGTTTCAAACTTGTAGGGGCTCAAGGTGGCTAAGTGGGTAAGATGCTGGCTTGCTAGCCTGGAGGTCGGATGTTCGATCCCCACATTGGCCGAGAAAGTTCATCCTGATTTTCTGGCGTGGTTTCCCTTTGTCAGTGATGCAGGACGGAGGGCTGGACAAGGACAGCTGTCTAGTCGTTCGGATGGGATGTAAAACCGAGGTCCTGTGTACACATTGGCATGCACGTAAAAGATCCCTTGACAGTAGGAATACGATATAAGAGTAGGCTGTAGTGCCGCTGTCTAGACAAAATTTCTCTCATAGTACACTGTATGACGTATGCCCGTCTTCATTAGCCCAGTTACGAGCAGAACAGTTGGATGTTAAACCCCATTTCAAGTTATAAGGAACATACCAAATAAAATATCTGGTTCACCAATGACACCACTTCACTTGAAATAAAATGGAGTTTAATGCCTAATCTTCTGCCTGCTGAATACAGTCACTTCACATAAATTCACCCCTAATGATTACAACAAATTCATAATTTTTACTTCACATCCGAATGACTAGATGTTAAGTGCCAGACCCTCCATCCTGCATCACTGACCAAGAACCCTTGACAAAATTTGAAATAAAAGTAGGCTGTAGTACCGATATCCATGCAAAATTTCCATCGTAGCACTTTGTATACTGTATGCCTGTCTTCACTGGCCTAGTCCGTGCAGAAGAGCAGGATGTTACATCCCCATTTCATTTAACAATACAATTTTTTAACAAATTATTAATACAACCTACCTTCCAATCAGCAGGTGTCACGGACACAATGACCTGTCTATTTTTCTCTGATTTATCACTTCCTTCAGTTTCTTTATTATTCACTGGTTCTGTGAATTTTAAAAAATAGATGAAGGCTTGTTATTGATTTGCAACAATTTCTAATAATTACTGTCAGTTATGTCCCTTGATCAAGCTAGAGGCTCCAGTTACTATTCGATTCACTTGAAATTTATACAAAGTGTTTAATGGAGGATTCCATATTTGCTCTGAATTACAAAATGCAGTTTTGACAAAAGTTGTTTGTTATAAAGGCAGAGTGAACTGGCTGTTATTAATAGCTGATAATAGAGAGCTCATTGGAATGGATCCATTGTTTAAATGTACAACATATGTTGTTGCCCAGTGAATATTTCTTCACCAATATGGAAAATGAATTAATAATTGTGTGAAGTATTACAGTCTTCTAAATGCTCTCAAAAGCTACACAAGAATAAATATGGGACAACCTTTGTGGATTGCTTGGACAACTTAGCAACAATTTGTACCAGCATTTTTAAACCAGCGGCTGCCAGTTAGGATATGCCCACATTTTCGAGAGATGGACAGAGAACAAGCTAACAAGAAAGTGATTTTTTCTACAATCAAGGGCCATAACTCAGGAAATTACAATTCGATATGCGCAAATATCGAAAGGAACTGAGATCTTTGTGTTATAAACTTACATTTCAAGGTTCAACAAAATCCGATAAAAATTGTGACCTCAATAGGGTCCACAACCTTGATATACCATATTTTTACACTATTTGAGAACGAACGGCAGCCATTTTGTCTGCCAATTTTGGGCTGATTGTCCTGAAATTCAATCTCAGCCGTCCTTAGGATGTAACGGTGATATAATAATACGTTTTTTTTAATCGGATAAAAATTATGACCTCTATAGGGGCCACAATCTAAAAACTCGATTTTTCGTACAATCAGGGGCCATAATTCAGGAAGTTACGGTCCGATATGCGTGAATATCGAAAGGAACCGAGATCTTTGGGTTATAAACTTACATTTCAAGTTTCAACAAAATTGGATAAAAATTGTGACCTCTATAGGGTCCACAACCTTGATATACCATATTTTTACGCTATTTGAGAACGAACGGCGGCCATTTTGTCTGTCAATTTTGGGCCGATTTTCACGAAATTCGAACTCAGCTATCCTTAGGGTGTAACAGTGATATAATAATACATTTTTTTAAATTGGATAAAAAATTATGACCTCTATAGGGTCCACAAGCTAAAAATGCGATTTTTCGTACAATCAGGGGCCATAATTCAGGAAGTTACGGTCCGATATGCACGATTATCGAAAGGAACCAATATCTTTGGGTTATAAACTTACATTTCAAGTTTCAACAAAATCGGATAAAAATTGTGACCTCTATAGGGTCAACAAGCTAAAAACGTGATTTTTCGTACAAACAGGGGCCATAATCCATGAAGTTTCGATCCGATACATGCCAATATCGAAAGCAGCCGAGATTTTTCGGGGATAAAGCTATATTTCAAGTTTCATCAAAATCGGACAAGATATGCGCGAATATCGAAAGGAACCAAGATCTTTGGGTTATAAACTTACATTTCAAGTTTCAACAAAATCGGATAAAAATTGTGACCTCTATAGTGTCCACAACCTTGATATACCATATTTTTACGCTATTTGAGAACGAACGGCGGCCATTTTGTCTGTCAATTTCGGGCTGATTTTCGCGAAATTCGACCTTAGCATATAACGGTGATATAATTGAACGTTTTTTTAAATCGGATAAAAATTATGACCTCTATAGGGTCCACAAGCTAAAAACACGATTTTTGGTAAAATCAGGGGCCATAATTCAGGAAGTTACTGTCTGATATGCGCGAATATCGAAAGGAACCGAGATCTTTGGGTTATAAACTTACATTTCAAGTTTCAACAAAATCGGATAAAAATTGTGACCTCTATAGTGTCCACAACCTTGATATACCATATTTTTACGCTATTTGAGAACGAACGGCGGCCATTTTGTCTGTCAATTTCGGGCCGATTTTCACGAAATTCGAACTCAACTATCCTTAGCGTGTACGGTGATATAATTGAACGGTTTTTTAAATCGGATAAAAATTATGACCTCTATTGGGTCCACAAGCTAAAAACATGATTTTTCGTACAAACAGGGGCCATAATCCATGAAGTTTCGATCCGATACATGCCAATATCGAAAGCAGCCAAGATCTTTTGGAGATAAACCTATATTTCAAGTTTCGTCAAAATCGGATAAGAATTGTGACCTGTAGAGAGTCCACAAACAAATTGTGGACGGACGGACAGGGGCGACGGCATAATACGTCCACATGAAAATGTGGGCGTATAAAAACTTATATTAACCATGTATTATGTAATATCTAAATCTTCCTGTTGCAGGTCTGTCTTTCGGCCTCAAATGTTATATAAACAATCCAACAGTGAGGCTGATGTCAGCCGCCGAAATGACACATATTAATTAATTGCACATTTATCTTTTTGATCAAACCGATTATCCATACTTAGTTTAAGCAAAAAATGTTCACATCCGAACTCAGTCAAGGGTTTGAAGTACCTGGTAGTGAAACTTTACACTAAGATTCATCCCTCACTATTAGTTAGAATCATAGTTTTCTTGTCTCAAAGCACTGACCGATGAAATTGCTTAGCTCTGCTTAGCTTTAGCTGATAATGTTATGTTCCTAAGTCTTGACTAATCAAATTGCTTAATGTTACTTAGCCTAAGCAGAAAATTCTCATCATCGAACTTAGTCAAAGTGTTGGTATAACGAATCTATACTCTGAGTTTCACCACTCTCACCCAATTTGAACTAAAGTTATTGTGTTCCAAAGTCTCAACCAATCAAATTGCTTATGATCGAACACTGTCAATGCAATCACCTAATAAACACCTACATGTACACCAAGTTTTAAAATTTTACGTCAATTAGAAGGAGAGTTATTGTGTTAAAAAGTCTCAACCAAATGCTCATCATCAAACTTAGTCAAGGTATTGATGTAAGGAAACACACTCTAACTCAATTAGAATCAAAATTATCATGTCCCAAAGCATCAACCAATCAAATTCATTATCTTTAAGTAGAAAATTCCCATCTTCGAACTCCATCAAGGCACTCACCTAATAAACACATCTACCAAGTTTGAACATTCTAGCTCAATTAGAAGGAGAGTTATTGTGTCTAAACAAGTGTGACGGACAGACTCATTTTAATTGTCCCCTGCTTTCTTCAAAAGGCGAGAGACAATTATTAATCAGAGATTTATTAAAAGGACAAGACCATAATCTACTCTCTAGAACATCAAATGCTTGCGATTTTCAATGGATTGAAACAAAATGGTCATTTAATAATTTAATTAAACCAGCAGTTGCCAGGCAAGATACGCCCACATTTTGCAAGAGATGGATAGAGAACAAGCTAAAAACAAAAGCGATTTTTCGTACAATCAGGGGCCATAATCCAGAAAGTTATGGTCTGAAATGCGCAAATATCAAATTCAAAAGGGACTGTGATCTTTGGGATATAAAGATGTATTTTAAGTTTCATCAAAATTGGATAAAAATTGTGACCTCTAGCGGGTCTACAACCTTCATTTTACATACTTTTACACCATCTGCGTACAAAGAGTGCCATTTTGTCCGGCAGTTTTGGTCCAATTTTCACGAAATTCTAACTCAACCAACATTACGGTGTGATGGTGATATATTCAAACGTTTTTTTAAATTGGATAATAATTATGACCTCTAGGGGGACCAAAAGCTAAAAATGAGATTTTTAGTACAATCCGGGGCCATAATTACGGAAGTTACGATCCGATATGCGTAAATATCGAAAGGAACCGAGATCTTTGGGTTATAATAATGGATTTCAAGTTTCATCAAAACCAGGTGAAAATTGTGACGTCTAGTGTATTCAAATGCTAAATACGTGATTTTCTGTACAATTAGGGGCCATAATCTATGAAGTTATGGTCGATGCATGCCAATATTGTAATCGGATAAAAATTGTGACCTGTAGAGTGTCCACAAACAAATTGTGGATGGATGGACAGGGGTGAAGGCATAATACGTCCACATGAAAATGTGGGTGTGTCAAAATGGATTAACAAGACTAGTTTACTATCGTAACAACGGCAGCAATGACAACTGAGACTTGCACTATTATCCAAAGGCCATAAATTTGCCCGGTAAAAGGATATTTGACTGAAATTGTCAATGTATTCATTTTTCATTTAGGCGATAAACACCGACTTTATCGATATTGTAGCCCAAAATATTTAACATTTTTCTTGGAATTCTCTTTCGCGATGGTTGACGGTCTTTTTTTTGTTTTAATGACATAAATACCAAGGAAAAAAATTTTGACGTAATGAAAATATCCGTGACATAATAAGATAAACACTCATTTCCATTCTATTTGGTTCACAAAGCAACTGGTTAATTGTGTCTGTTTGGAAAGGGAGGTCACTCTGCGTTAATTTTAAAGATCGAAACAGAAATCGTAAGTGTATTTTATGTACTCTTTTAAATGATTTTGAACTTCAGCAGTGACTAGGTTCGAAATAAATTGCATCTCATGTTTGATAAATGTCCATACACTCGTGTGACCGTGTAGATATATGCTGTGTAGCGTACGCATGTGGTTGCTATGCTTGTTTACGTTGTCATTTCGACGCTGTGTAGCGTACGCATGTGGTTGCTATGTCATTTCAACGCTGTGAATGTAATGCTTTTTCTTCGCAAAAAACCATAGCCTGGCTGTGTATTTGTATGAAAATTAGTCTCTGTCCTATTCATATCAGCAACAGCCTGACTTGTATATTATTAAAAATATTTTACGGTCCATACAGTGTTCAATAAATTGTAGTATTTTTATTCATTTGTTGAAAATCTTCGATTTTGACCAGTCTGATTATGATAGAATGACTATAGCAACCATTATTGTCAGGCCAGCCTTGAAATTAAATTTACTTATTATCTTTCAAATACACTCACTAACTTTGTTTTTTTTTTATGTGTTTCTGGTGTGTGTTTCAATAAGCCAATGGTTAAATTTCATTGTTGATGACATACAAGAAAAAATTCATGAAGATTTCCTAGAATAAAGTTTTGAGGTGTAGAATTTTTGGCCACTGCAAACAGAGTCTAGCACCCAGAAAATATTCATTCGCAGTGAGTCGCCCAGAAAATTTAGAGGACTGTTATACTCATTCGACGCCACTTTTCAACCAATCAGAATCCAAGAAATTTCTATTTTGGGCTACAATATATATTTTTAAACTATTATAGCAAGAAGTGTCAGCTCATTATCTAAATCTCACATAATGCATCTGTAAGAAATAATTTGTCAGACAATTTGACAAAAACTTACCTATCACTGGTAGTTTATCTTCATCTAAAAATATTTTAACCAAACCATCCTTAAAATATACAAGTCATGAAGAACAAATAGATTTCAAATTTTGGAAAAAATGTACAGCAAGCATTCATTTTGTTAGTTACATGAACTCCTTAAAATATATACATGTATGTTTTGGGCATAAAACACAAATATTTAACAATCAATGTGACTAAACGTGCCATAAAATATACAGGTAATGATGGTTTTAAATTCTCTTAACGGAAGTGGAGTTTGAGTCTACTGTCTAGAAAATGTGTTATGATTTCATGATTATTTACTGAACAAAGTTCACTGTCTACTTAGCAAACCATTATTGTAAGTGTTGATCATATTTTTCTATAAAATATACATATCATTATTCGATCAATGTATACAATAGAACACTTACCCTTACTAAAAATGAAACATAGAAAATATTCTCCACAGTTTGACCAAAGGAAAATGGATTGGTGACAAATTCAAAATAGCACAATGGATTATCTGAAAGAAAATAAAAAAAATTCGGAATTAGTAAAATATCACACTACTGCCATGATATTTTCTGTAGACCAAGTCCACTATAGTTGATCATCTAACATTATAAGGGATCTGTACCTCTACAAAGTGGGTACTGAAGGTGAATACTGATGACCATGATCTAGCCACATAGCTATGTTTGCATGCATAGTTTATTACCTCCCTTAGACTGTTTCAAACAGAAAACTGATACAATTTCTAAAACTCCTACATGTATAATATTATTCAGAAAAAGGCTGCAGATTTGCAAGATAAAATAATACATAATTTTTGAGTCCAAGAGTCTGTTCTATGAAAATATTTGTCAACTGATCTGAGCAGTCTGGTTGATTTATATGATGAGAAATGACATGTACATGTGATATGCTACAGTCATGTACATGTAACTCACTTTTAGAAATTTTGTAACATTCTTGTAACTTGGCAAATATACGTTCAACTTCCGCTGTAGTTGCTTCCATTTTATCAGTATCTTGAACTCTTTGAACCTGTACTGGAACTGTTGCTTTATCTACTGTATTATCTTTCTCTTTTATTTTCTTGACTCTCTCTTTACCAACTCGTACCTCTCCTCTTTCAAAAGACCCATTGCTATAATGACATTATATTGTAAACCAATATTTCTATGAGAGTAACTTGAGAATTGGTAATAAAGACATCTTATTTATTTTAGAGAACAATTTTTGTCATGTCTGACACATATCTTTGATAGACAATGAGATAAGAGATTAGGTGTTAATTATTTTGTGCAGGAAATTGTCCTGTTCCGACTGGGTTATGAAGACAGGTATACACCATGCAGTGTGCTATGAGGGAAATGTTTTGCCAAGGCAGCAGTACTATGGCCTTGCCAGGTCCTCCATCCTGCATCACTGACATGGTGAACCAATGCTGGAAAATCCTGATTAACTTCCTCAACCAATGCAGGGATCAAACACAGGAACTCCTGGTTAGTGAGCAAATGTCTTACTCACTGGGCCACCATGGCTCCAGGAAATCAAAAGAATGATTCCAGACAAACTGAACAGTCCTAAATTAACATTAAGAAAAAGGACATTATTTACATCTAATAATTGCCAATAAGAAATTGTAAACAAAATATTTTGCCTACTAATCACTGTTCAACTTTAACGTTTACAGATTCATAAGTGGAGACATCCTGCCATTAAATAATACTTCTAGTAAAGTCTGGTCAAATTTTTTTTTATAATGTCACACTAACATGAATCTAAATGGAGGACAGCGCTTAAATGATGGCTGAACAGCTTTCCCTAAGCTGCTCCATTTTTCTGTTGAAATAGTTCTATCTTCAAGCACATTTCCACAGAGAAAGGTTTTCTAAAATACAAAATATACCATTATCTTACTATACAAAACAATTTAAAGTGTAATACATAATAATATTTCAATTTTCATCACTCCAAGAAAACAATTGTATTCTTAGTGTTCAAAATTATATAATCTGTAACTGGGAATAATCTATATTCTATTAATAATGCAGAGAAGAGATGGCGTTTATTATATTGGTCACAATATTATCATACGACTTTAAATTCTTTTAAATTTGACTTTTGAGTTTTATTTAACAACAGTTTTAATCAATTAGTTAGAAAAAATGAAACACTGTGTTAAGTGCAGTCACATTAAGTGTCGTAAAATTAATTTTCAATAAGTCAATAAATTAATGACAAAGATGGTGTTTTTCGAACATAATTGCAGACTGAATAACCATAAAAATTATTTGGATAGCATAAGGCAGGTGCAGAGATCAATTGGTCATCTATAAAACTTAGCCCAAAAAATATTTAGAACAGACCGTTTCCATTTTAAACTAGATTGGTTAACTAATACACATCTGTAATATTTAACAATAATTCATTACATGTAGTTATAAAGTCATTATGGGGATCTGCCCGGATCTCTGGAATTTAGTTATAAAAGTTACAATCAAAATATATCCGCTTTAAGTTGAAACATGTTTTTGTTTTATAGAAATATTAAAGATATAAATCCCATGTACAATAAGGGTTGGGCGATATACCGTTTTTTTGGCATATCGTGATAAAATCATTGCCGATTTTATCGTAGACTTATTTAAAACTATCGAAAAACGCATTATCGCGATACGATAATTATTGTGTCCAAATATTGATGATAATACATATGCTATATGATCACCTATGACATTCTATTGATATACCGGTAATTAATTTCATCAGTAACAAGCGGTTGCCATGCAAGATACGCCCACATTTTCCAAGAGATGGACAGAGAACAAGTCCAAAAAAAGAAGTGATTTTTTCGTACAATCAAGAGCCATAATTAAGGAAGTTATGATCCAATATGTGCGAATATCGAAAGGACCCAAGATCTTTGGGTTATAAATATGTATTTCAAGTTTCATCAAAATCGGATCAAAATTGTGACCTCTATAGGGTCCACAACCTTGATATACCATATTTTTACGCTATTTGAGAACGAACGGCGGCCATTTTGTCTGTCAATTTTGGGCCAATTTTCACGAAATTCAAACTCAGTCGACCCTAGGGTTTAACGGTGATATAATAATACGTTTTTTTATATCGGATAAAAATTATGACCTCTATAGGGTCCACAAGCTAAAAACGCGATTTTTCGTACAATCAGGGGCCATAATTCAGGAAGTTACAGGCTGATATGCGCGAATATCGAAAGGATCCAAGTTTCAACAAAATCGGATAAAAATTGTGACCTCTTTAGGGTCCACAACCTTGATATACCATATTGTTACGCTATTTGAGAACGAACGGCGGCCATTTTGTCTGTCAATTTTGGGCCGATTTTCACGAAATTCGAACTCAGTCGTCCTTAGGGTGTAACGGTGATATAATAATACAGGTTTTTAAATCGGACAGGGTACACAAGCTAAAAACGCGATTTTTCGTACAATCAGGGGCCATAATTCAGGAAGTTACAGTCCGATATGCGCGAATATCGCAAGGAACCAAGATCTTTGGGTTATAAACTTACATTTCAAGTTTCAACAAAATCACATAAAAATTGTGACCTCTATAGGGTCCACAACCTTGATATACCATATTTTTACGCTATTTGAGAACGAACGGCGGCCATTTTGTCTGTCAATTTTGGGTCGATTTTCACGAAATTCGAACTCAGTCGTCCTTAGGGTGTAACGGTGATATAATAGTACGTTTTTTTAAGCCATAATCCATGAAGTTTCGATCTGATACATGCCAATATCGAAAGCAGCCGAGATTTTTTGGGGATAAAGCTGTATTTCAAGTTTCGTCAAAATCGGACAAGAATTGTGACCTGTAGAGAGTCCACAAACAAATTGTGGACGGACGGACGTCCAGGCGGACAGGGGCGACGACAATATACGTCCACATGAAAATGTGGGCGTATAAAAATATCATTATTAAGTACTAGCTGATCTAGGGTAAATCTCCATCATGGCATCTACCAATGTTAGCAACAATAATTTGTAATCACGCCGACGGTTTTCGGCCCAAGTATTCAAAATTTAATTTGTTAAGACATGCGTATAAATTATAACGATAATATCGTTTATCGTGATATTTGATAAATTATTATCACGACATTATTTTTTCACTATCACACAACCCTATGTACAATGTTATTGTTTAATTTATAGTATTTTAGTTAATCAACAGGAAATAAACAGGATACAATTATATAGAATAAAATTACTGCTCAGTAATAAAAAGTACTTGATTTTTGAATTCTATAATTATCAGGCTCGTGTCCAGAGCAGAGGGGGTCCTTCCCTGCTGAAGCAGTATATTTTTTTCTAAAATCTTCGTAATAACGACGTACAAACAAATCTACTGTACTAAGCATTTCCCCGATTTTGGCTTCACCCCCCATCTCAATGTAAATAAGCAGAAATCTTATCTCAGAGCATGATTTTATCAAATTCTCGGTTAATCACCCAGTCCTTTTACCCCCTCCTGCTAAAATTCCTGAACACATCCCAGATTATTTCCTGTGCATTACAAATATTATGGTGCACATCATTAAACATTTGTGAAATCAACCCACACCATCAAAACATACAATCCACATATCAGCTTGGATCAATTCTAACATATTTTTGTCTGTCAAATAAAATTGATTATTTATATGAACAATAACACTAAGTAAATGTGTCTTTGACAGTAAAGCAAGTCGGGGATGAACAAATTTCTAAAATTGACCATCCAATGAAAATATAGATTTAAGAAAGTGGAAAAAGCACAGTCAATAAGTTTGACAACAATATACACCAACATTGTTATTGTGCATGTATAATAAAATAACCCAACCGCTACCAATTTTTCAACAAATTCAACAGGTTGAAACTTGACAAACTCTGTGTTTAATGCCTGTGCCTTCTGTCGACCCATGTTAGCAATGAGAACCAAAGCCTGTGAGTCAAGAGCCGCCTCTCTTGTCATCTTAACTGGAAAAAAAGAAGAATTTGAATAACTACAAATAATTTTACACCAGGTTTATTTAAGTGCCAGTCCACGAGAAAACCATGCAGAAATTGGGGAGGTTAGGGGTTGTCCGATTCCATTCATATTGACAGGGTTTGGTCAAGCCCATGAGACTACTCGATAGCCAAAACCGCCGATCTCAGAAATTGACCTTAGCTGAGATACGGCAAACGGGTGTTTTTTTTGGCTTTTTACTCATTTTTTCGTCAATTTTAGGCAATGTTAGCTGCTGTTTTTCAGGTTGTAAATGAGTACTTATGAAACAAATGATGATTCGATATATTAGGCTAGGTAGTAATGTTTCAACAAGCCAACAGTGAGGCTGATGTCCCCCGCCAAATAGGAAAATAATTAGAGGACACATATAAATTTATCACAAATTATCTTTTACAAAGTATTGAACAATCAAACAGTATATCTTTACTTCCAAAGTCTCGACCAATCAAATTGCGTATCGCTCTGCTTACCCTGAGCAGAAAATGCTCATTATCAAACTTAGTCAAGGTGTTACTGTAATGAAACTATACACCAAGTTTCATCAATCTCACTTAATTAGAACTAAAGTTATCGTGTCCCAAAGCATCAACCAATCAAATTGCTTATCTCTGCTTACCCTAAGCGGAAAATGCTCATCTTCGAACTCCATCAAGGCATTGACCTAATCAACACATACACCAAGTTTGAACATTCTAGCTCAATTAGGAAGAGAGTTATCGTGCCCCAAAGTATCAACCAATCAAATTGCTTATCTCTGCTTACCCTAAGCGGAAAATGCTCATCTTCGAACTCCATCAAGGCATTGACCTAATAAACACATACACCAAGTTTGAACATTCTAGCTCAATTAAAAGTTATCGTGTCCCAAAGCATCAACCAATCAAATTGCTTATCTCTGCTTACCCTAAGCGGAAAATGCTCATCTTCGAACTCCATCAAGGCATTGACCTAATCAACACATACACCAAGTTTGAACATTCTAGCTCAATTAGGAAGAGAGTTATCGTGCCCCAAAGTATCAACCAATCAAATTGCTTATCTCTGCTAACCCTAAGTGGAAAATGCTCATCTTCGAACTCCATCAAGGCATTGACCTAATAAACACATACACCAAGTTTGAACATTCTAGCTCAATTAAAAGTTATCGTGTCCCAAAGCATCAACCAATCAAATTGCTTATCTCTGCTTACCCTAAGCGGAAAATGCTCATCTTCGAACTCCATCAAGGCATTGACCTAATCAACACATACACCAAGTTTGAACATTCTAGCCCAATTAGGAAGAGAGTTATCGTGTCCCAAAGCATCAACCAATCAAATTGCTTATCTCTGCTTACCCTAAGCGGAAAATGCTCATCTTCGAACTCCATCAAGGCATTGACCTAATAAACACATACACCAAGTTTGAACATTCTAGCTCAATTAGGAAGAGAGTTATTGTGTCCCAAAAAGTGTGACGGACAGACAGACGGACGGACAGACAGACGGACAGACAGACAGACGGACGAACCCATTTTAATAGTCCCCTGCTTTCTTCGAAAGGCGGGGGACAAAAAAATGAAAAAAGAAAAATCTATCTTTCCACTGAGGGGTGCCATTTGGTTATTCCTGAAGAGTATAAATCGAACCCTATAAAGTACCCAACTTTATGCCCCGATATCTCCACTGCCGCGGGGTCCCATGAATTCTTTTTGTGGTTGTTAGTAAATGGGTACAAGGTCTCTCGATTAAAAAAATAAAATTTCATATATCTTCATACACATGTGCGATAACATTGTCTAAGTTTTGACAATTTTGATATTGGATCATCTGATATTGATATGTTCTAATCAATATAGTGACAAAATATGGATGCTAAACAACTCGATACCATCGGCAATTGACAGACAAGCATTTCGAACCCGCTCAGGCAGTCGTAGAACCCGCTCTGTCAAAACTATCAGTTCTGGTATCCAGCCATCCAAGATGGCGGCATGTATGTGGTTTTTCGCAGTTTTCTACTTCAAAATGCGGCTTTTTGACTGTGTATCCTAAAGAGACTGAGCATGTTTTATTGAAAGCTAAATACTAAGAGTGATTACTGGTGATATCTGAGGGAGCGTTCCATTGATATTTACTATTTGTCAATGACAGTTAAGGCTGGGAATCGATATGAAATTTCAATATCGATTATCGGCAAGAATTTGTCAGCGATTATCGATAATCAATCATTCTTCCGGAAAAACCGAACTTTACCGACCTGTTATTTGTGTTGATCGAGTTACAGTAGTGTTATTATCATAGTCTAATACTGTGCCGATGTACGTAAAAAAATCAATTAATGTAAAATAATTAGTTGCTAAATGTAGGATTAACTTGAGTATTATTCTAAGTTTTGTTCTTGATTCATTTGAACCTTTTTTTATTCCAATATCTCCGATAAATACAAAGACAATACATGGTTTCTCTTTGCAAGTTACTGGCGATCACACAGTGTTACTAATAATAGAATAAAATATAATAGAAGGCGTCTATTGATTGGACAATAAAAAAAATAATTACCGGCTTTCAAAGTAGAATTTTTATAATTGCTTAATTTTGACGAAAACCAAAGTAGAATTCTTCCAAGAAATTACGAGAGATATAGATATTTTCCCGGGAAGTCAAAAACATGTTTTGTATGGGCTGTATCTGACATGATTTAGTAATAAAAGCTGAGTTGATCATTAATAATACAATTAGTTTTATGTGAAAGCAGACAATTTCTCTACAAATCAATCAAGAGCAAAGAAGGGAGATAATTCTAATTTTACTATATCACGTGCGATCTTCATTGTTCCCAAAGTGCGTGACCTATTTTAGTTTCAACTAGTAATAACAACAAAAACAACGAAAATATTAAAATAATGTATTTAATCTTAAAGTTTAGTTTTTTTTTACAATAATATATATTTAAAATGTGCCAGTTTGTAAGCAGAGGGGGAAAATAGTTGTTGTGTTGACGTTGTGTATTCGTTCATTCGTCTGCATGCCAGACTACGGCAAGTTCAGTCATGTGAAAGTGACTTGCCGTCAGAAGGTAAATATACCGATAATCGAATTTCAATATCGATTATCGTATCGCTAAATAACTTCTACCGATTATCGATTATATCGATATTTTTGCACAGCCTTAATGACAGTAACATCGTCCTGCTCATATTTACTATTTTTCAATGATAGTAACATCGTCCAGCTGATATTTACTATTTTTCGATGATAGTAACACAGTTATACTGATATTTACCATTTGTCAATGATTATAACACCGTCATGATGATATTTACTATTTTTCAATGACACCATACCGTCCCGCTGATATTTACTATTTTTCAATGATAGTAACATCGTCCCGCTGATATTTACTATTTGTCAATGATAGTAACACCTTCCTGATGATATATACTATTTGTCAATGATAGTAACACCGTTCTACTGATATTTACTATTTGTCAATGATAGTAACACCGTTCTGCTGATATTTACTATTTGTCAATGATAGTAACACCGTTCTGCTGATATTTACTATTTGTCAATGATTATAACACCGTCCTGCTCATATTTACTATTTGTCAATGATAGTAACATCGTCCCGCTGATATTTACTATTTGTCAATGAAAGTAACACCGTTCTACTGATATTTACTATTTTTCAATGATAATAACACCGTCCTGATGATATTTACTATTTGTCAATCATAGTAACACCGTTCTACTGATATTTACTATTTGTCAATGATTATAACGCCGTCCTGGTGATATTTACTATTTTTCAATGATAGTAACATCGTCACGCTGATATTTACTATCTGTCAATGATAGTAACACCCTCCTGATGACATTTACTATTTGTCAATGATAGTAACATCGTCCCGCTGATATTTTCTATTTTTCAATGATAGTAACATCGTCCCGCTGTTATTTACTATTTGTCAAAGATAGTAACATCGTCCCGCTGATATTTACTATTTGTCAATGATTATAACACCATCCTGATGATATTTACTATTTGTCAGTGATAGTAACACCGTCCTACTGATAGATCCTGATATATATTGAGGAGATTAGATTCATGAGGTACTTCTACTATTTTATCCTTCTGATATTTTGTAAAAATTTATGAATGTAAATTTTGTATGATATTTTGGGAGCGTTCATGAATGTAAATTTTGTATAATACTGTATTTGATATTTTGTAAGGAAAGGATTCATTGAATGTCTCTTGATATAAAATTATGAAAAATTATGAACGTAGTTTTTGTATTACATTTGATATTTTGTGTGGGTTCATGAATGTAATTAGATGTGATATTTTGTAAGGATTAGTATTCCCTCCCGAAAGTAAACTTTGTATATATTTGATATTTTGTGAGGATTAAGGATTGACTCACGAGGTCAATAACGGGCATTGCCCAATTTAGTATTTAATCTGCGATTGTATTTTCTTACCTCAGAGAGCAATCTGTGCTTTCTGCTTTACGTACAAGTTAAAAAAAAAATGTTACAAGCTAGACCAACATGTATAAAACTACTCTACTACTAGTACCAATTGTTGCTGTTCGATATTCTGATATATACGTACACCTAATATAATATATTGCTACATTAAGCCAATTGAAAAAAAAAATGTTTTTTGTTTATTTTTGGGGCTTTTTGTGAAGATGATGATCACCGTACTTTAAGAGTGTAGGACTACTACTTGTAGGTAGGGTATAGTCTAAATATAGATGATTAACTCGTTGGTCGCAGGTAGAGGTAAAGATAACATCGGTCCGGAAAATTGAAAGAAAAGAAAAAATCTTGCCTTTTTAGTCGTGCTGACCTGGAACTTTTTAAAGTGTAGAATTTATTGTCCAATCTTGAGGATTTAGGCCTACATTTTACTATTCAATGACTACTGTGAGCTATGACAGTTCTCTCAACTGCAGCTTATAATGAGATCTGTACATATCAAGAGATTTAAGACTGAAATAATGCGAATGAATTTTAGCAAATTTTCACTTCCAGTTGCAGTAAGAGTTGTCATATGAACATTATGTTGCGAAAACATAGGAGCTGTGCAGGCGTCTGTATTATACTACATTTGTTTGAATATCAGTTTGATAATATTGGGGATAAAGCTTCGTAAAACTGTCGTGGTTTTCTCGTGGCCAAGCACTTAAGTTCTTTGCAATATTGATCAGAAATTGCAACAGTGGTATTGGTTATGTCCAAGACATATAGTGTACTGTAGCGAAGTCCAGAGTTGGTGAACAGAATGAACTGTATTGGGAAACTAACCTGGTTTATATAATTCATCTGCTTGTTTCAATCTTTCATTCAAGGAATCTGATTCTGGATTAATAAGATCATGTTTATCTCCTGAAAAGTAAATTTGTTAGGTTTATTCAATGTATTGGATGATTAATGTCAAAGAAAAAAAACCCACCAAATTCTTATTAAAACTGTTTATAGTCAGTCGTTTATAGAAAATGGTGGCTAAGCGCGAAATAAAAATATACAAAAATTATTATTATTATTAATATGAACTGCAGCGTTTGACAGGAAGTGCAGTGAGTCAGAATCTGTCTTAGTGTTTTGTTATTAGAGTGGGTGCAGGCTGTTTCGTAACCTGGCTGTTTCGTACTTAGTTCATTCGTACCTCAAATTGATTTGTACCTTTTCCTATGTTGTTGAAATCAGTTGATAGAAATTGATGATGCCGAACCAGAATAAGAATATGCACGAGATTTGTACCTCAAATTGATTAGTTCCTTTTCCTAAATCCAACGGCTGTGCTAAATTTATAAATACACATTTGATTTGTACCTCAAATTGATTCGTACCTTTTCCTATGTTGTTGAAAAAAATTGAAAGAATTTAAAATAAATCTATATGTTGTTAAAGCCTTAATAACATGCGAAAATCTTAAAAGTAAGTGACTGCTTAACATCGGCCATTTCTCGATAACGGAACTAATAAGTGCCTAATTTGTGATAATTATAATTTTAGACAAATAATGAATAAGTACGTTTGATATGATTTTTTTTAATAAAACGGTCCGATTAATTTTAAAATGTCGGTGTTATTCCTAATTTTTTTCCCCTAAATTTTATAATTTTATAATTCGACCATTTTGCTTAGTCACACACTTTTCCCGTTAACATCGGCCATTTCTCGATAACGGAACTAATAAGTGCCTAATTTGTGATAATTATAATTTTAGACAAATAATGAATAAGTACGTTTGATATGATTTTTTTTAATAAAACGGTCCGATTAATTTTAAAATGTCGGTGTTATTCCTAATTTTTTTCCCCTAAATTTTATAATTTTATAATTCGACCATTTTGCTTAGTCACACACTTTTCCCGTTAACATCGAAGAGTTTCGGAACGATTTGTCAAGTAGTTAATAAGATCTAAGCAGTGTAAGAATAGCATTCTAAACAAATATAGGAGACGATAAACGACTTAATAATCATTGTAATAACAATGAAAAAATAAACCCAGACAATATTTATTTTTTAAAACAAAAATTGGTCTCATTAAATGGAGAAAATACATGTTTATTCATTCTGCTCAGTGAGTTGTGATTATTGACGACAATTGATTGGTAATTGTTAAAGCAGTTTAAAAAAAACGATTGAAAAAGTATTTAATCTGGTGTTGATTATTGAACCCATTCTGCTGAGTGAGTTGTGATTGTGATTTGTGATTATTGACAATAATTGATTGGTGGTTGTTTAAGCGGTTAAAAACGATTGAATATACTAAGAATTCCAAAATCAATTTAACTCATTGGAAGGTGAAACTGCATGCTTTCTGATATGGTTGGGTTATTTGAGCCTAAAAATAGAACGCAGCAAGTCTGCAAAAGGTGTCTACGTGTGAAGATGGGCATACGCGTTTTTTTGATCTGTTATGGACCGTATATACGGTTATATCATGGGGTAATTCTGTTATTGAAACCCAACTGCATGAAAATGGCTTTCGATCATAACCGATGTAAATTTAGTGAAATGCTGAAGCAATTTTAGATTAAATGTATCCTTTGTGTGTGAATTACTACTATTGGGCAGGCTGTAATATCATGGACCTTATAATACAATACATGTATTATAAGGTCCATGGTAATATCAATATGAAAATTTCTAATTTTTTTTTTCAATGCATACATTCGCTTTTTTTTGTTATTAAATCTTTCAAACAGATTTAAGAAAACAAACTAATCAATTTGAGGTACAAATCTCGTGCATATTCTAATTATGGCTCAGCAGCAACTTTTAATTTATAAATTTAGCGTAGCCGTTGCATTTGATCAAATCGTTTCACCTTAATTTCATTTTCGTTTTATTTCAACAACATAGGAAAAGGTACGACTCAATTTGAGATACGAAACGGCTCATGTGAGGTACGAATATGAACTAAGTACAAAACAGCTAGGTTACGAAACAGCCGACATCCATTAGAGTCTAATATAGTCAACAAACAAATGGCGTTTATCACATGAACTTCTCTCTCGGCAGAAGCTAAAAGGTCGATAAAATTTGGTGTGAGGTCAAGGCTAGTCCCCTGTAACATCCCCTGAAAATTTCATGTCTCTACGATCACAAGAACTGGTAGAGGTGCGAAAGTGCAATAGCACCAGTAGGCCTACAAAAGCAACAATAATATGATGAAAAAAATACCACAGGTAAGTACATCATACTTTATTAAATTATTTTAGAATACAGATTAAACCAACACTTTATAATTGGTCTGAGTAGTCTTTTTGTATGGTCTGAGTAGTCTTTTTGTTTGGTCCGAGTGGTCTATCATCAGTTAGTCTGAGTGGTCTATCACTACCAATAGTCTTTTCTTTATTAAATTATTTTGATGTGGACTAACTTTCCATATCTTCAATAAATGTTCTGTATTTATGTCGAATTTCACGGCGTTCTTTTTCATCTTGTAATGGCTTCAAATACTTCATGTTCTCTTCAACATCGACTATGTCGATTTCATCGTCACAGACTGGGTCAGTTTCTTCACTTGCCATGCCGATAATTGTCGTAGACCGCTCTTCAATCTCAAATAAACCCAAGTCACTTCGTCTTAAGAAAATTAGACATCAACTCCCGCCATGTAACAAATGGATATTGCGCATGTGCGACAAATGGTATCAGGCGTATTCATTACCAGGCAAATTCATTACCGGTAAAATCGGCGTGTTCATGACCAGTATATTATAGGGTTGATTGGTCGGTATATAAAGGTGCTAATTAGTACTCATCAGTGTGGATAGAAGCCTATACGATAATTATTAATTAATGATTGGTGTTTGATGTATTAAAATTGTTTTTTTTATTATTGAGTTGTTGTTTAAATTATTTAATCTTAAGCTTGAGATTGTAAATCCCGGCTTTGTTATTTTGTATTTTAAACTTCAAACCAATTCCGATGCAAGCTTGGAATTTGTATATTTCGAATAAAATATGAAACTTTCACCATTTGATATCGATATCTCAGATACATATCAAGTTAACTATAGCCTAATTCCAATGGATCCTTGTATCGCTTGCCGTTCCACCGTGCGTCTGAGACGAGAAGGTCTTCAGTGTGAAGAGTGTAATCTATGGCAGCATAGAAAATGTAAATATATGTAAATATTGTCTTCGAATATGAAATATTTCAACTGTTGTTTGTATTATGACTATTTAAAATATATAATAAATACCTTGTTAATTATTGTGTTGTCGTAATTGATTAATTAACAGTAACACCCATAGACATTGGCACTGATGAGTACTAATTAGCACCTTTATATACCGACCAATTCGTTTAATGATTGATCTATTCAAAAAAATTCGGGTGACAAAGAAAATTTTCGGGCAAATAGCCTAAGCCCCCCCCCCCCAAACTGAAGTTTGCACCTCGTGCCTAGGGGAGAGAGTGCGATCTCTTTTTGGGATATGATATGATTGTTTTCGCTACAATACAAACTCCACTCGGAATTAATTTTATCACTAATTTATTTGTCAATTCTGTATAAACTGCCTAGTCCTATATATCACTATTCCACATTTCTTTATCCGTCTAAAGTTAGAATCAAGCGATACTACACTTTCCAATACAACAGTTTTGACTGTAAAAACTATAAAACATAGTCAGTACTGCAGTCAACGCTCATCTGCAATCGAAGTATGAAAATACGAATCTGCCAGGAAAGAATTTGCATATTTGACGAGAGTGAATAAAATGAACGTACTATATCATAACAGATTTTTAATATATCAGAAAATATATATTTATGTTAGAAATTATTAATTTAAAACAAGAAAGGAAGGAGGTGAAAACAATAGCTATGCAATGTTATGTAGTTTTTTGGTTTGCACGCCCGTCTCCCCCTCTCCCCAACATCCCTCCCAACCACTTCACCATCCGTGAATTGGGATAATTTTAGAAAATTCATATGCTGGTAAGTACACAAATTACTTTTATAGGAACAAAATAACAGAAAAGTTTTTAAAAAAATAGATTAAAAGGAAAACTATAACCGAATGGGTTCTGAGAAATCAAGAAGAGAACACTGTGTCGAAACTGAAATACTGTATTGTGGAAAAGTTTTAACTGAGTCAATATTAATGTTATTTCTATTTTTGTGGAATTCCACTTCCAGGATATAAAATCAAGTCATACATCTATTGTAGTTAAATATAGACCGCAAAGGAATTATAGAAAGGGAAATACCCTTATTAAATGGTAGCACGTCATTTCGGTCACGCGTCATTTCGGACATACGACATCTCGAACTCAAAAAAATATAGTCTCGACGTTTCGGACTCGGGTAGGTGACTTTTCGGACTCGGGTAGGTGACGTTTCGGACTCGAGAATAAGTTGAAAGGATATAAGGTTGAACACAAATGTCAAATCAATCTAGAATAAACCAAAAGCGATTTTATAAAAATTACATGCCGGTAAAATTTTCCGCTCGCAATCAAGTACAGCAAGCAGCCTATGGGATGGTCGCGCGCGGGGAATTGTGGGAAATGTTACTAAAACATTCTCGGAACCCTCTATAAATAGCGATGACTCGTGACACGGTTATTCCGTATTCAACCAAATTATAAAATGGAGGTATTTGCAAAGTCACGATCATTTATGATGTTAAGGTGGCTCGAGGGTGTTCTTAAAAGTAAAACTCACAATGTGTACGGTAAGTATACATGTAGAATATTTATAATATGTAAAACTATATAAGTTATTGTATCGTCAATATAGATATATTAATATATAATAAATTAGCAGCGTTGTTTATCGATTGTATGACAAAACTAACATGAATCTGCCTGCTGAAATAAACCCCGCTAATATTTTGTTTTAGTAGTCCTAATTAAACAACCAAATCTACCACGTCATCTTCATTTTATTTGTCCACGTTGTTCAGTTAGCTATTTTCAAATTTAAAATTGCACAAGCGTCAACCAATATCAGCTTTTTAAATCGAGAAATGTAACAGCCGCCATAAATTATAAAAAGCAGGATGGCCGAAGGCCAGAATGCACGCAAGTTCTATTTATATAAAATGCCCAAAATACTCTAGTATAGATAACCAGTTTATCAGTGATAAGAATATTCGTAAGGCGGGAATGTATTGCAACAGAATAATTATATAAAGGTAAAAACGTAAAATCATTATCTGCAAATGCAATACAAACCTAGGTCATGTTCAGTAAATTGAATCCAACATGAACGCAAAGTCACAAGACAAAAAATGACTGTTAGTCATTCGTGTGAGTCTTTGTATAATACTAGTTACATCAATATCGTGTGAGAAATGAATTATATCATTGTTATCGACATTTATTTCAGGAAACTTGCCTTTTACCCACATTCAATCTTAAATATAACCGGGGCTGTCAGAGAAGAATGGCCGCAGTTTACAGAAGTGAACAGCTTCAAACGGAGGTGAACAGACTTGAGACTTTCAGAAGATGGCCCTTGAGACGGCCGCTGCCTCTGGATTTAGCGCGAGCTGGGTTTTACTATTCAGGGAGCGCAGATGAAGTTCGGTGTGCTTTTTGTGATGGTGTGTTAAAGAACTGGAAGTGTACGGATGATCCCTGGACAGAACATAACGTGAAGTTTCCTCACTGCCTGTTTGTTCAGCATAAGGCTGATTTTGTTGAGAGATATCGCCCCAAACCAACTGGAATAACCAAGTATATAGATTTTACAAAGGAAGAAAATAGACTAAATAGCTTTGTAAACTGGCCGAACAGTCGACAAAGCCCAGAATCTTTAGCACGTGCTGGTTTTTATTATCTCAGCAATGGGGATATGGTGCAATGTTTTGCTTGTAGATGTATTCTTAAGTTTTGGGAAAATGAGGACGATCCGTGGATTGAACACGCCAAGTGGTCTCCAGATTGTCAATACCTTCAGATGTGTTTAGGAAAAGATATTTTTGGTGATTCACAATCTGCACAAAGACAGAACACTAGAACTACACTGCGTACAGAAACTTCCACCTCCCAAACAGAAACAGGTCATGTTCAAATGAACCATGGTGCATCTACTTCTTTAGCACCCGTACCAGCAGAAACGTGCTCGGGAGAATCCCCGTTGATTCTGGCTGTTCTAGATATGGGTTTCACACCACAGCAGATAGAGGCTGCCTGTCGGGAACGAAATCTGAATAATGAACCGGCGTTTGCATCATCCGAAGAAATGTTATCGTTTTTAATGGAACAAGGGGAAAATGAATTTGAAACCAGGAATGAAGATTTTGGTGCTCTAAAGGAGGAAAAAGTTTCCATGAAAGTCAGTTCTAAAGACAGTAATTTTAGTGATGATCAGTATTTGTGCAAGATCTGTATGGATAGTGAGGTGGCCATTACGTTTATACCATGTGGTCATCTTGTATGTTGTTTCAATTGTGCTAAAACTCTTTCTCTGTGTCCTATTTGTAGATCCAGCATAACCGATAGAGTTCAGACTCACTTCTCATGACTTATATATATAACAACATCAAACCCTACTGATTATAAAGTGACAGCAAAGAAATATAAATCATGAATATTCAGAAATTGCTGTCTTTAGAGACCTGGATGGACCTACATGTAAATCGCTTAAAATAAAATGATGATAAAACAGAATCCATCAGTTAATAACTACTAAATTAAAAAATGAAATGTTATATTGTATATTTATAACCTTACATTTCAGTGGCATATTATGTTGTTACCCTGTCTGTAGAGGCTGTAGTTTTCGACGAATTCATTTCAAATAGCCAAATACTTATGGCTATAGATTTTAACATTTCTTTCAAATTTGGTGGGAAGGATGAACCCTATCTTTATTAAGCATTCTGCGACTTTCCGTTCCGGAGTTTTTCGTCCCATCTGAATGACTAGACAGCTGTCCTTGTCAGGCTCTCCGTCCTGCACCACACTGTAAATAATATTTGTGTATTTTTACCATAAATTGACTGGCAGAAAGTTACCAGTAAATTGACTGTATTTTAACACTGACTAGTAAATTTACACCTAAGTGGTAGATTTAGATTTACAAACAGCATGTAAATTTACCGTGAGTTTTAAATAACTTGTTCTTGTAAATAGAAAGTGAGGTAAATTTACGTTCACTGTAAATTTACACTGTGGTTGTAAATTTACCTCAAAGTTATATAACACGCACTGTGAATTTACACTGTGATTGTAAATTTACCTCAAAGTTATTTTACACTCACTGTAAATTTACATGGGTGTTTATAAATCTAAATCTGCCATTTAGGGCTACATTTAAATTACAAGTCAGTGTTAAAATACAGTGATTTTACTGTCAGTTTTCTGCCAGTCATTTTATGGTGAAAATGCAATTTGAAGTGTATATTTACTTGAAATATACTTTGATAGTGTTTGTCCCCACTCGGCTAGGTAGTCCTAGGTTAGATCCTGGCGAACACATAAAGGTTTGCTGACCTTTCAGCTGAGCATGCAAAACATCATTCGACAATGGAAATAAAATAAATGAAATGAGGTTTAACGTCCTACTGTTCTCCTTACAATGGAAAGAGTAGGAGGCATGAAACGAAGCAAAATGTCCCAGACAACCCTATGTATGGCATATGCCTGTCTTTATTAGCCAGTTCGTTGTATTCAGATTTTGAATAACCTATTTCTCTAAAATAGACTAATCTGACTGATATAACAGTAAATATTTTGCACAAAATTCAATATGTGGTCGAAGGGGAATACCCGTTTTGAACACTATTTGACAGTAAATTTACAGTTTGTTGTAAAAATACTATTTCAAATGGCATTTCTGTTAATATTTAGCTCACATTATGTAAACTGACATACATGTATGGTTGTATTTTTACATTAAGATTGATGTAATCTTTAGTCTTACATGTGGCCAAAGAGGGAACAACCGATGTGGCCACTATTTGAAAGTTAATTTACAATTTGCTGTAAAAATAATAATTCAAATGGCAATTCTGTTAATATACAGCTCACATAATGTAAACTGACATATGGTTGTATTTCTATATTAAGTTTGATGTAATCTTACATAAGCTTTGTATTCATATGCATTTACATCGTTTTAAAGGACAATATTGGTGCCAGTTGGAAGTGACAAACGCCAAAGGAAAACACGAGTCATCTCTCTATATAACTGACTGATGCGACGAGTGATAACAGATACACGGCCGGATTTCTGCTCACTTATAATTCCTTCGAAGACCAAAAGTTGTTATATGGGACTGTAAGAGGATACCTGACCATTCAATAAAGTAATTGAATGTCATTAGATAAGAGAACACGAGAAAAATAGAAATAGTCCGTACATTCCCTTGTTTATATTCATTCTATACCTTATAAAAACATGGTAATGCACGGACATTTTCTGTTTTTCTTTCGTGTTCACTTATCTAGTGGCAGTCAATTCTTTTTATGAATTGTCAGATATCCTCTCACAATCTCGCACAACAACTTTTGGTCTTCGAAGGAATTATTAGTGAGCAGAAATTCGCCCGTATATCCGTTATCACTCGTCACATCAGTCAGTTATATAGAGAGATGACTCGTGTTTTCCTTTGGCATTCGTCACTTACGATTCAGGAAACCTGTATTACTCAGCTATCGTAGCAATGATCTCTGTGTTAAAATTATATTAGGAATGTGTTTAACCAGCTCTATCACATATGTGATAATGACTGGCACCAATATTGTCCTTTAAATGTAAATCTAACAACCTATATATGTGATATTACAAATCGGACACTGTATTTTAAATATACTTATAACTGTAAATATGCATATAATTTTAACAGTTTAATAGGGATCTTTTACGTGCTCACCAACGTATACACAGGACCTCAGTTTCTCGTCACATCCGAACGACTAGACAGCTATCCTTGTCCGGCCCTTTGTCCTGCATCACTGACATGGTGGAACTTTCTCGGCCAATGCAAGGATCGAACACCCAACCCCCAGGCTAGCGAGTCAGCGTCTTACGCACTTAGCCACTGTGAAACTCTCATAAGTGGACTATAGTATGAAGCCTTAAAAGCTCTATCAATGTTAAAGTTCTAAAGCAATGTATAATTACACGTTTCCTGTAATTGTACACAAATCCCGTATGTAAACATGTTTGAATTGTAGAATTACCGATAAAAACAGTTCAAGTGCAACATACATGTACTTTTAACCAACATAGTTATATCAATACAGATTACATGTAATAAAAATACAGTTCTAACTTGTAAAACTATACTTTTATTGTTAATTTACCAATTATTTACAGTAATCCCATGTTACCTCACTAATACAGTAAATTTATAGTATAAAAACATGCAGTGGTATTTTTACCGCGTTATGTTAAAGAAATTACATACTTTTGACTGTAATTTTACATTTATGTTTTACAGTGCACTGACAAGGGGAAACCATGCCGGAAAATTCCGATGAACTTTCTCGTCCAATGCAGGGTTCGAAGACGCGAGCCAGCGTCTAACACACTTAGCCAATGTGGCTCCCAATTTTGTTGGATGCAATGGGTTCATAAAAGGATGAACCTAGAGATTAGATTTTTTCAACATCTATTTTTCCAGCCGGATAAGTGTGATGGGGATATATTCGTGCATTTATTCGTTCGTTCCTTAGCCATCGTGGCTCCCAATTTGGTTGGAAGCAATGGGGTCATTAGAGGATGAACCTGGAGATTAGATTTCTTCAATATCCAAGTATTCTATTCGAATACGTGTGATGGGGATATATTCGTGCATTTATTTCATTCTCTTTTTATTAATTCCTTCATTCTGTCATTTAATGTTCAATGTTGTTTTGATAACGTATTTAAATTTCGACGGATTTCTTTCAATTCCAATTATACCGGAAACTATTAATCTTGTTTGATTAGAGCAGATTCGGTAATAGTAATATTACTGTCTCTATACGCGGGGCTGGAACTAAATACAAGAACAACTGGTCAGATTTGTAAAAAGTTTATAGTTAGTAAACGTAACTCAAAATATGAATAATAAAAATACAGTAAATATTACAAAATAATTTTATTGAATATGTATAAGTTATGATATCATGTTAGAATTAAAATAACAATTATTATTTATTATTCTTAGAAACTTGGCTTTATATACCTTTGATTCCCAAATCTATCGAAACACGTTACTAACTTATTAACAAACCTACCAGTTACCCCAATACCATTACGTAAAGTGGTTAATCCCCAACAATTCTAATTACTATATTATTTCGTCGATTATCACTAGAACAGAACAGTAGTTATAGTACTTAAATATGCAAATTTCAATGAACCCTTTTCGGGTGAAAATGTACAATATAATAATAGTTTTAATCGTATAAGCTTAAAGAGGCATTATTCAAGAGCTAAATCTGTCTATTGCAGGTCTTTCTTTGGGCCTTAAATGTTTTATAAATTATAAATTAGACATTTACTAGCACAAGACATAATCAAATGTCGATGTCATTGCAGGGTCGATGCCACACCCACTTTTTTATATTAATTTTTTGTCTGTAAATACTTTACAGGTTGCAATTATTAACAGATTTTATTCAAATTCAGCATATCAATCATATCAATAACAGGGTTGTACCTATTTATATTGTTCCATCTCCAACCCCCAGGGGCAGAGCCACGTCCAATTTTTGTGTTTATTGTCTACGGGCTGCAATTCTGAATGCATCTTTTGTTAATTGTGTAAATTTAATTTAGTCATTAAATCCTTCAAGATTATAGGCTTTATCCCGCCAGGGGAGTCACTCTGTCAAACATGATTTTCTGTGTTTTTGATATTTACTGTTTTCGGGTATTAAACAGTTTATAGGATAGTTCCAGGGTATGGCTAAATCCGACGATTTTCACTGCAAGCTGCAGTTGATACAAAACTGCTGTGCGTAACTATCTTTAATGCTACATTTAGCGTTTTCCTATAAAAGAGAAAAGCCGCCTTTATTATCCCGGTTGGGTCTAAAAGTTAGGACGTTTAACAGCATTTCATTTCATAAATATAAAGTTGATTTTATTAGTTATTATTCATACAGTTATAAACTACACGTAGTATTGTTTTGCATATTGTATTTATGTTTAAATATCTATAAAATTTCAAATTGATCAGATCCCTTTATTCTGTAGTTGATTTTTCTGCATTCTCTAATATCCTCGTATAACTTTGGGAAGTGGTAGTCGAAGATTTTCCGAAGGAAGACAGGGAGTGGTTGCACGCCTGCATCACGCGCCATATCGTCACACAGCTCAAACATCAGATCTTCCATCCTGTGTCGATATCTCGGTGGCCAGTTCCGCTCTTCTCGCTTGTGCATTTCCTCCTGCTCACTCCCTGTCATCTCCTTTTCAGAGGGAAGTTTTAGTCTCTCTTCAAGGACAGCTTTAATAAATCTAGCTTGTATGGATATGCATGGAAATGGCAACATCCATTCCATCAAGCATATGAATGACATTGTTGGATTGGTGATGTTTAACGTGTGCTTATATAAGGGTCGTACGGTGTTGTCCTCAGTGACTTCAACTCCACAATTCGGTGATAAAAAGGGAAAGCTATGCTTGTAGCCCGTATTAAAGATTATTGCATCAATGGTTAGTTCTCGATCATCATTAAGAATGACGCTGTTCTTGGTGAATGATTTGATGCCGGTTACCATTGTAACATTGGTTGGAAGAGCCTTCATTTTCTGTTCCCCACGGTGGCTTAAATATACTTGTTTTGCAGTAGAAGCAGTTTCAATTGTGATATCCCATCCGGAGAACGAAGCGCCAACTGTAAGAACATACTTGTCTTTAAAGATCGAGGGTTCGCGGTATGAATGCCCATGAATGGTAGTTCCTTGAAATATATTTAGGCCAGGAACATCAGGTAGTTTTGGTACTGCATATTGCCTGACATAAAAAAACCCCAACAAATTATTTATATGAAGTTGTGAAGGTTGTTAATGAAAATTAATAAGTTTAGTAAACAAGAATAATTGGGGTGCAGATGTTGTTGTTCTTGCTATCAGGGACGAGCTCCTTCGAACAAAGGAAAATTTAGAAAACAAGAATGATTGGGGTGGATATGTTGTTCTTATTATCGGGGGCGGCCTTCATCGAACAAAGGAGGGTTTAGAAAACAGGAATGGTTGGGGAGGAGACGTTGTTGTTCTTATTATTGTGGGGGGGGGGGGGTCCTTCGAGCAAAGGAGTCCTCTCCTTTGTAAGTTTTATTAACGTTTATCCGATCCGTTTACTTTAAAGTAATAAAATATGTTTACACTAATATAAGACTGCGCCAATTCAACTGGGTTTCGATTAACGGACTTTGATGTTTGGTATGACGATGAAACAAGATGAGCATACATTTAAATTTTCTAAATATCGTTAGAATCTTTTAAAAAATTTCCCAAAATTTGTAAGACACCTCTGTAGCTGTTGATAGCTAATTTTGAAAGGACATTTCTTGAAGACTCACCCATTACAGACAATAACGGCATCAAACTCCCTCTTCGTTGTGGTACTAGGGTTGTTTAGCTGTTGAACTTCAACATCCCATTTGGTTCCCCACAATCCTTGACCGGTATGCTTAGGTTTCACCATTATCACTCTGATGTTAAACTATAATTCAAAATTGATAATCTATAAGACAGTGGATCCGTGGTGCTTATGTCAGTAATTATGTATGACCAGGGTCCTGTTTAACGAAATTTTAACTAAGATAAAATCCAAATTTGAGTAATTTGATTGGATAATATTAGATTGATTTTAGTGCTTAGCCAATCAAAATTGAAGTATCTATACTAAAATTTGGATTTAGTCAAGATTTCGAGAAACAGGGCCCATATACGTTTATTTTGGGAATAATTCTTCCGCCAGTATTGTTTTTCATAAGAACGTGTTCCAGAATTTCCAGACTTTGATTGATTCTTTAATTACCTTTTACAGAAGATTGCCAATACTATGCAACCCGGTATTCGGTTCATTAATTTTTGTGCCCGACTAGGATGACTAGAATACTGTACAATTCGACATATTTATTCATGTGCACCAGATGGAGATGACTGCAATTATGTATCATTCGATATGTTTATAATTGATGAGATTTATGGGGTGATGACTTGTGAGTTATCTGTGTTGATGACTGGACTAAAGCATCACTCGATATGTTTCTTCCTAGGGTAATTCATGAACTCTCAGGCGCATTATCCCATTTCCTCAAGTCTTGATTTAATGGGATTGGTAGCGGAATAGCTTACCGCGTGTGCCTTAGATCATAAAGTCTGTCATGAGTTAAGGGTCGTGCTTTCGATTTCCCGCTGGCTATACGTGACGCAGGGTCGCCTGTTCCATCTCTTGTGTTTTTCCGGGTCTTCTGTTTCCTCCCACTGCTAAAGACCACTGCGCACAAGCGAATTCTTGAAATAAGCAATTAACCCAAATTAATCCGGACCTTAGGCCCCAAGAACTTTGCAAAACCCCATGGAATGTATAGATATGATATATTAAATACGTGTATATACCTGTATACTTGGTTTTAGATTAAAATGTTCCGTGTAGCTGTTCAAATATTTCAATACCTCTTCATGGCCGACAAAACTTGAGAGATTTGAATCGAATGGAAAGTCAGGATAGGCCATAATTTCTTTAGGGATATTAATCCTACAATCATAAATTAAAATAACATGAACCACGTTTCCGAAACGCGTTGTTTCGTCATATTAAAATGACATTGTTGAAAGGAAATAATATTGCTATGAGTTTTAAGGTTCAGACTTCATCCCGTCTTCAAATGGAGCAGTGGATATGGCGTATAGATAATTGAATTATGAGATGGTATTTAAGACCCGTTATCCTTTCATTGTCAACTACCAAGCTGCAAGAATCTGATTAAAATACACCAACAAAATATTCCGACTTTGATACATTAACTGGCATTTCTAGATTTTTGTTGACAAATTCTAATTGTTGATGGAAGGTACATCATTTAAGGGTACCGAAGAATTCCGGCATACCTGCATCGCAGGTTATGTTTACAATTAATTTTACTCACTTCAACGATTTGTATAGACTGCTGTGGATGGGTTGTCCCGATTTATCACTACCAGTTCCATCGGTATAAACCCAGTTTCCTCCAATGCAAGGGGCTTGTTCATAGGCAATAACTTCAAAAGTCTCCGGATTTTCAACAAAATACCTTAAAGACCCGAGCCCAGCGGCCCCTGCTCCGATGATACAAACACGTTTCTTTGACATCATAAAAGTTGTGGTTATTGCTGTAATTATACAAAAATAAGACCGAAGAGTTTGAATAGGATCGCAATTCACCAAAACTATAGTCATCACCTGGGCTGAATTTACCTAATTGTGGACATTGGGCCAAACTCATAGAATTTATAGAAATGTTGGCATGTTTCAGAATCCAATATACAACCTTTACTGTAATTATTTCACAAAGTCCAAATGTCAACAAATACAATATTATAAGATCAAAATGAAAATATCTGTGTTTACGGTTCGCTGACCTAAACTTTTTTTTTATCATTTCTCAGACTCTTTAACTCGGTCTTGGCATCATTGTCTGAAGACAACTTCCAATATTTCGGTATTATTTCAAGAAATTTAGTCGGTAATTAAGATAGAAATGCTAGGGAATAGATAATACAAACCCTACGAAAAAAAAAATATTAAATAAAAATGTTTTCAGACTGACCGACCCTATTTTGGGGGACCAAGTAACCGTGAACACTGGTATGTAAGTTTAGTTTGAGTGAACCCACATATACCCGTGGGCTTTCGGCCAGGAGCCCATGCCCATTGGTTAATCCGGCCCGGAACATCACAGTATTAACTGAACATCTCACTCACAGAGAGAGGGCTCCTTGTTAAGAGAACCCTAACACGAAAACTCGCCCTCAAGCATGCATAGATGTCAGACCTGCAGCACAACGATAATACTGTAAAGTGAGGGACAATCAATTGTAATGAAGAAAAAAGAAATAAAATGAAGTTTAATGTCTTACTGTTCTGCACCAACCCGTATAATGAAGATGAGCATACGCAATTCATCATGGTTCCGCGGGGCGGGGTAGGAGCTGTGGGTGGGGGGGGTGCACTGTACATGTACAACTAGTATTCCTGCTTCCCATGCAAGTGTCATCTGTGCAGGGAGCCACAGTGACTCAGTAAGGGGCTGACTTACTTACTGGCAGGTCCAGATTCTGATCTCGATTACTTCATAACCATATTGGTCAACCAATGTCAAACATATCTCCTGGCTCATCAGACTCTAGACACCCAGCCCATAATTTCTTGGCAAACACACGTTCACCAACCCTGGCATGACCCTCGGAACCCATTTACGATAATAAAAAAATATTAGACTTGTGTTCTCACACATGGTCTTGGGCGTCATACAGCATCAGCAGTCACCACTCTCCTGAAATACTGTTATCGTAAATATTTGACAGAAAGGGAGATAACCTTTTTTCACCGTTAATGGATTTCCGAAATGCCGTATATTCCCTTGTCCATTATGTTTTCTGCATGTTGGTTTAAATCAACATTTAAACATGCATTATGCAAGAGCTAAATATGCCTATTGCAGGTCTTTCATTAGGCCTGACATGTTATCTAAATTATTAATTAGACATTAATGAACCTATCCAGACCACAATCATCTCTAGCTGTCAACGCTAGCCTGTGATATTTACTGGGTTAGGATCCCATTTGCTGTTCAACTTTCATTCATGATTTAATCATGAAATGGACAATCGAGACTATGCTTTTTATCGTACCGACTTTAGTAATGATGATCGAGGCTAGGCCGAAAATTAGATCGCTAAAATCTTGGTTCAGATTCGATCAATTTGACTGAAATTTTCATCATATTCCCTTTACATTATCTTGTTTTTAACTATTATAGTGAGAACTGCCAGCACTTTATCTAATCACCCATAATGTCTTAGACATTGAAAACACGAATTATTTGTCAATTTAAATCAACATTGATGTTGTTATCTTACCGGGAAAAGATGGGCTTTTGATATCCAATATAAATATTTTACTATTGGTACACGCTAATGCTAGACATATTACACAAGTCATGTCAAACTGTGAAGCCATATTCTTATCTGGAGAGCATGAGCAATAAATACTATCGGTGTAGACTGGAATAACCAGACGCTAGAAATTTCCATTCAATTGAGACTTCTGGCATATTCCGCCGAACATAACTGATTTGAAATTAGAGTAAAACGGAAACAATACATTCATATTACCTTATTATATGCGTTGCTACCCGGGTTTTTTTTTTATCAATTTTTAGGTCCCAAATATTAGCGATTTAGCTCCTTTAAGAACTACTGATCCTTCTTTGGGGTGGTCAAAAGAATTATCTACAAAGTTAAACTGTTGTACTTGAGATCAATTTTCAATGTGCTAAATAGCAACCTCTTTAGGCCGTTCTTAAATGTGTTTTGCACCGAATTGGAGACTTGAGAACTACTGATTCTTGATCAGGAAGGTCTAAAGAATATTTAAACAAAGTTTCATTAATGTGCTCAAAATGTCATTTAAATGTGAAAAAGTTCCCCCTTTAGACCGTTCTTAAATGTGATTCGCCCCAAATTTGCTGTAATCACAGTGCCAAAATGAAGCTTTTGGCATCAGGTTTGATCGATGTACTCAAAAATGTAATTTAAAGTAGCTAAGTCTCTAACTCAATATCATCCAAAATCTTCAATATTGAAAACACGATTTATTTGTCAATTTAAATCACCATTCATGTTGTGATCTTAGCGGAAAAAGATGGGCTTTTGATATCCAATATTTAAGACAAAATAAACATTTTACCATTGGTACACAAATCGTGTACCATAATGTGCTTCAGCCCCAGTTGTATCAAGAGACCCGAGGGACGAGGCTAGACACATTGCACCAAATCAAACGGCGTATGTAGACTGGAATAACCAGACGCTAGAAATTTGCACTCGCTTGAGACAGCTGGCTTATTTCGCCGAACATAACTGATTTGAAATTGGAGTAAAGATCCCAAATGTTAGCGATTTAGCTCCTTTAAACGACTTAAAGAATGGTCGTTCGGAGGTTCTCATCCCACCATTTAATGAATTTACCTCTGTTGTACTTGCGATGTAATAGAAATCTCTGGTAGCTTCTGCATTATAATAAATATATTATAGGTAAAACTAAAAAAACTGAAAAACAGTTTATGGATAATTAACCAAAAGAGGGATTAATCCCTGATAAACCCTTATTTACTTTTGTTGGTGTGGACTATATGACCTTTATTAGTAAAACAAGTTAAATGTACAGTTAAACGCTATGGTTTTCTTTACTTGCATAACAACACGCGTTGTTCACATTGAAATAACTCATAGTTTAATGAACACGATGATTAATGCATTGAGTAGATTTCTTAGTGTTCGTGGTTCGTCCATTAGAAGTAACAACGGTACGAATTTTATTAAAGCTGACAAGGAACTTAAGGAAGCTATTCACTCTAGAATTATTGATGTTTGTGCACGGAAAAGTATTTTTTGGCATATTAATCCTCCTGCAGCTAATCACATGGGTGGCATATTGAAGACAATGATCCGGTCGGCACGGCAAATTTTGAAATCCGTTATATAAGTATTGTTTAATGGTCGAGAGCGAGACATTAAGTAATATATTGTAACAACATAGGGCAATGACTTAAGCTCGAGACCATTAAACAACTTAAAATACAGACACTTGCACGTGCTTTGCAATGAAATACGTCACTCGAGTTCAATATTTTACCAAGTTACGCTTGGCACATTGCCCGTACGATTATTTGAAATAATGGTACGCCAACATCAAAGGATGACGTCACATCTGTATTTTAAGAACAGTGACGAAATATTGTTAACTGTCATGGCTGAAGCTGTTCTTTTTCTAAACAATAGACCTCTTACTAAAAATAGTGATAGTGCATCTGATGCGCTACCTTTAACTCCCAATCATTTATTACCATCTATATGTACACCTCCATGTTTATTACACTAACAACCCTATTCTAGTTCACCCCCTGTGATCTTTGAAAAGTATATAATAAAACGTTATTTAGCTGACATTATTAACGCCGTTGCGGTAGAGTGTATCAATTTACTTACTCTATTAGAGCGTGGTAAAGTGAAACATTCCTAAAAGAAATAATTGTATAGAATATGTTGTATTTTAATGTATTGTAGATATTATTAAGCCACAGGATGGTTTTAGAATACCTGTAAAAAAAACTAGTTGAACGGTTGCAACTAATGTTAAACGTCAACATGATGATGTTAAAATACGTTTTTGGTGCCGAAATAATTCTTTAATGATTATTAAATATAATTTCAACTTACCAATGCATCGTGATAAAGGAGCTAAAGCTCTAACTAAATATTTTTAAAATCAAATTCGAAATTAAAAACACAAATTGGACCATTTCAACCAATATTGACGTTGTTATCTTGCCGTGCATATATGGGATCCTTATATCCAATATTTTAGACATAACGAACATCTTAAAATCAGTACACGAGTCGTGTATGTCTATGGTTTCGGTGGCCAATTGCAATGAACAGTGAATAACGCATTCTATAAGACAAATAGGAAGTAGTTAGTAATGGCTGATTCACAAATGACAAAATAATAATTAAACAAAAAGTGTAGAATAAACTAAGCAGGCTTAAACGTCTGCCATTCTGTTTGGTTTGTTCACGCATTTCAACTCACATAATTGATTAGAAATAATTTTCTTTTAGAAATTGAATATAAATCACTCTATACACATTCATATTACATTTTCGTCTGTCTTAAAGGATAATTTCTGCTCACTAATAATTCATTCGAAGACCAAAAGTTGTTGTATGAGATTGTGAGAGGATATCTGACAATTCATAAAAAGAATTGACTGCCACTTGATAAGTGAACACGAAAGAAAAACAGAAAAAGTCCGTGCATTACCATGTTTTTATAAGATATAGAATGAATATAAACAAGGGAATGTACGGACTATTTCTATTTTCTCGTGTTCTCTTATCTAATGACATTCAATTACTTTATTGAATTGTCAGGTATCCTCTTACAGTCCCATATATCAACTTTTGGTCTTCGAAGGAATTATTAGTGAGCAGAAATTCGGCCGTATATCCGTTATCACTCGTCACATCAGTCAGTTATATAGAGAGATGACTCGTGTTTTCCTTTGGCGTTCGTCACTTCCGACTCCGGAAACCTGTATTACTCAGCTATCGTAGCAATGATCTCTGTGTTAAAATTATATTTGGAATGTGTTTAACCAGCTCTATCACATATGTGATAATGACTGGCACCAATATATGGAAGGGTATCACTGCCAATATTAAATGCTCTGCGACAATGTCGTTTCCATTGATTATATGTAAAAAGTAAAATGTACAAAGTCCTAATACCAATAACGATAAAGTCAAAATACCTTTAAGGCAAGAGTTAAATTAAAACGTCAAATGTTTAGTGTTAAATGACAAATATTTTGTATGAAAATGCTTTTTTTGACGTGTCTACATTTTACATTTCTCTCATTACATTTTACATTTACGCTCTGCCACATCCCATTTGCCCTTCACGCTTTCTACATAGCAGCTTTCGCACAACATCAACTTGCGTATGTAAATGTAGGATATCACGTGACTTATTAACATCTACGGAAACCCGGCACACTATAAACCAGCATACTATATAAGGATATTCACCGCACGAGAGCAGTAAATCAAGCTGGCACACCATAAGAGAGAAAAGAGAGAAATGGTGTTTAACGTCCACTAGACACAAACTAGGTAATTTCGGGACTAACATATGGTTTAATTTTATTTCAATAATTCACTTGCGCGTAGGAGTCTTTCGCAGTGGGAGGAAACCGGGGGGCCAGGAGAAAACCCACGAGGTTGGACAAGCGACCCTACTCCTTGTCACGTACGACCGGGGATTCGAAACCACGCCAGTTGACTCAATGACAGGCTTTATGATACAGCACGCACGTGCTAACCATTCGGCCATCCAACCCCCCACACACCATAAAAAGCTATCTAGACGACCGTGCGTAATCATGAATGTGCCAGGAAATAATTGATAGATTCAAACAGCCAAAGAAAAATACTTTACAGTAATTTAAAACACAATAACTGGAATTTCGTATTAATACCCGTATTATGATATTTTAAACGCCCCTCCCCCCATTCTTTCCGGTCTCTCTATAAACAGAGTTGAGTACAGCCTAATTAACTTTGATCCATTTAAAAAATAACAATATATAAGCATTGTGCGCAACAAATAAATAATATATTTAAAGAGAGGAATCACTATACATTTTTTAGTATGGACATAGAGAATTTTTGATTAAGCCCCATATCTTTATTTTAATTTAGTTTATCCCCCACCCACCCTTCCTTCACTTCAGCTTTAATCTTATTTTGTAAAGTTAAGCAAATATGAATGTGCCAGAAAATTATTTGCATATTTGAAACGAACAATCAGTGATACGTAACATGGTATCTGGAATTTCGTATTTAGACCAGTATTTTTACTTGAATACCTCTTAAATAGTGTGATATTTATTGGATTTGAATTATGAAAATACGATTGTACCAGAAAACTATTTACATATTTACAAACAGAACGTGCTTTTTACTAATATGTAACATGATACCTGGAATTTCGTATTTTGACATTGCACAGCCCCCACACCCACACCCCGTAATCATGGTAAAATACCATCCAAAGTGACAAGGTGAGTAAATTTCTTATTGTGTGCTAGACTGATTTCCTGTATATAGTGTCGTGAATATCCTTGTTCTGGCTTATAGTGTGCCAGGTTTCCGTATATGTTAATAAGTCACGTGATATCCTAAATTTGCATATGCAAGTTGATGCTGTGCAAAGCTGCTATGTAGAAAGCGTGAAGGACAAATGGGATGAAAAAGACATTGTAGCAGAGCATTTAATATTGGCAGCGATACCTTTCCATACCAATATTGTCCTTTTAGGTTCCACCCTTTAAAAAATCACAAATTAATGTCATCTGATAGATACATCGTATTAAATAATCAAAGATTAACTCACATTAAAGTAAATTCTTTGTAAATTCTTCTTATATAAATATTTCGTATGGAATAATCAAAGATTAAATCACATTATTTTATATTTAATTATCTTTACCTGTAAATGTGAACTGAACTTCGTTGAATCCGCCGAGCTCTGTGAGATTTCAATTATACTTGCATGTATATTTCATACGAAGGCCCATTAGTGCCAAAAAAAAAAAAAAAAAAAAATTAATCCGTTTCAACGAGTTAGTATCTCGTTTGAATTAATTAGTTCCAACGAGATAATTAAGTCGTTCAAACGAGATAATTAATTCGTTCAAACGAGATAGTAACTGGCGGCAAATTAAAAGCATTTGAAAAATGGAGTTATAATGGTGTCAATATTGAAATTGTGAACAATTTTAGTTACTTAGGTATAAATTTAAATTTTAATGGTAAATTTTTATTAACACAAAAAACCTTAGCAGATCAGGGAAGAAAAGCCTTATTTTCTGTCATGAAAACCTGTAAAGTAAACAATTTCAATCTGGTCACTAAGCTATCTGTATTTGATACCTTTGTCTCTTGCATCTTTAACTATGCTTCCGAAGTATGGGGCTTCCATAGTGCCCATGATATCGAATTATTGCATCTTTATTTTTTGAAAAGAACCCTTGAAGTCAGACAAAACACGAACACGTCTATGGTTTATTTTGAAACTGGGCGATATCCTTTAACTATTCATCGAAAATTGCGAATATTTAAATATTGGTCTCGTTTAATTAACACTGACAATATTGTCCTTAAAGCTTGTTATAAAAATATGTTAACTAACAATGATAAATGGATTATTAATGTAAAGTCTGAATTATATAGTATTGGTTTGGGTTATATATGGGAGAGAAATTTTCAAGCGGGAATGTTTTTTAACACAGATATTGTCATTATCAAACAACGACTATGTGATAACTTTAGATAGAAATGTGTGGAAAATTTAAACGAATCTTTTAAATGTATTATTTATAGAATTATTGTTAATCACTTTGTTGTCCAGTCCTATTTGACTATATGTATTGAGCAAAGGTTTAAAAGGGAGATAACACAGTTAAGATTATCTAGTCATAAATTGAGGATCGAAACTGGAAAATATGAGTCAATACCGAGAGAAAAAAGAATTTGTACACTCTGTGAAAGTGATGAAATTGAAGATGAATATCACTTTGTACTTGTATGTCCATTCTTTGCTGAACTTAGGTCAAAATTTATAAAGAAATATTACTATACTAGACCAAATATGGAAAAATTAAAAGAACTACTAAAAAGCCAAAATTGTTTAGAACTTTTAAAACTAGGTAAATATCTATACTTCGCTAATAAGTTAAGAGACAATACCCTTAATAGATTGTAGTTAATATCATATTATAGTAATACTGTAATGTTTAATTCGTTTGTTTGCTCTCTATTCACTGTATATATTGTATATAATTGTATTCTTATGTTACTATGTTTACCGATGAACCAGAGGTTCAAGGTTAATAAAGATTTGATTTGATTTGATTTGATTTGAAACTTGTTCAAACGAGATAGTAACTCGTTCAAACGAGATAGTAACTCGTTCAAACGAGATAATTAATTCGTTGAAACGAGATAATTAATTCGTTCAAACGAGATACTAACTCGTTCAAACGAGAAAATTAATTCGTTCAGACGAGATAATTAATTCGTTCAAACGCGATAATTAATTCATTCAAACGAGATAATTAATTCGTTCAAACGAGATAATTAATTCGTTAAAACGAGATAATTAATTCGTTAAAACGAGATACTAATTCGTTCAAACGAAATACTAATTCATTCAAACGGATTTATATTTACTTTTTGTTTGGCACTAATGGGCCTTCGTAATTTTATGCTTCATGAGATAAAATGATTATGAAATCAGTGGGGTTAACAACGACCTGCTTTTCTGGGCTAACGAAAACAAGCACACACCATACCATACAGTCTGCAATGAATGAGGGAAGTATTGCCCGGACAGTGACACCTCAGTACTTCTATTTAGTACTTACTTAACTGTCAAGAGTACTTTTACGTGCACGCCGATGTGTACATGGGACCTCGGTTTTCCATCCTACTTTCGACACTGTTCTTTGCCAGGCCCTCTGCCAAGGAGAAACCACGCAGGAAAATCCCGATGAAATTTCTCGGCCAGCGTCGAGAGCGTCTGGTTAGCGAGCTAGCGTCTTATTCACCGACCAGATAAAACACGCAGATAATCATATTATTTGCAAATCTTAATAAGTAAACGGTATCTTATATCATTATCGTTAAAGAGGGTGCAAACGTGGGGCATGAAAATATTTTGGTAGGGTGTGGACTTAAAAGTTGATTTGAAAAATCCAAAACGACCAAAAACAATGTGTTATAAGTTCGATCGCATACTTTTCAGATTTTATTATCATTTTCTGACAATTTGCTTTGATTATTTTCAACGTTTAATTTGGCATAGATCTCAAACAGGGACTCTATTTAAAATTAACTGTGTTGCCGACATTTTACTTGATTTTTTGAAGAAAATATATGCAATATACTAACTTTGTCCGATAATTGTGCGACGCACGTTTTATTTTTAAGGAAAAATCGAAGTGGGCTTGGGACACAAAGGATTGAGAATTGCTGCTTTAAACTTCAAGTTAAAGTTATATCCTGTTTGCATGCATCCTTATACATATCATCACGATTTACATAGGTGTGCTATTATATACACACGTGCGTACATCGTGTCATACGAACGCAATTTAGGAGGTAGTATGTATATTTACACCTATGCAAATCAGCATGATGTGCAAAATAGTGCCATGAGATGTAATGCTATAGGAGTTATTTAGTTCTATGTAAGGTGCTCTGTTTAATATATTAAAGTGGTTAAACATTTTGAAGATTCAACCTTTTTAGACTAACTCACTGACATTAATTTCTGGAAGTAGGTTACTGGTGTCCAGTCTTCTCATGCACAGATAGTGCAATTAAATAAACAATGTTGATGAAACGGGTTCTCAAATGAAACACTTACCCTAAAATGGTAATTGCCCCGCCCTAATAGCCAAAGTATCTAAACGTTGATATAAATTAAACAGCACCATCAAATTTGATTTAGACATCGTTCAGTATTCTCAGAAGAACGTTCCTGGAGGGCGTATAGCCGCCTCGGCTTAGAGGCCGGGATCAGACATCATGGGGGCTTCTCAAAAGTCATACTCACAGCCTCCTCGGCTTAGAGGTCGGGATTCAGACATCATTAGTGACCTCGACTTAGAGGCCGGGATTCAGACATTAGTGACGTCGACTTATACCGGCATCTTGCGGGGTTCTTAGAAGAAGGTATACCCACAGTCTCTCCGGCTTAGAATCTGTGATAGAGACAACATGTAGTGTTCCTATAGGGACATACCTTTAGTCTCACCGAGGGAGATCACAGAAAGAAGAGCGAAATATAAGCTAAGAGATAGGGAACTTATATTTAGCTTACACATTTAATTCATAGATGTGTGTGTAGTATAAACTTTGTATTATTTATGTTATAGAGATATATAAACATAGTTAAACCAACAAAGTGTTCCAGAGTTTTGATCATGAATAACATAATGTCACATCTAATTTCATTTTGGTGTCGTGACGAGGATAGTATCACAGCGAATGCATAATAAACTTACGCGCGAGTTTTATATAGGTCCTGAAGAAGGTCTTTTATATTATATTTCGTAGATACTACCATCAATTTGTTTGAATACAACTACAGTACTACTTAGTGTATTAGGGTCTACACAGGTAGAAAATTGTAATTGCTAGGGACAGTACCTTGTCATCTTGGTTTAATTTGGCATACCCTGGTGTCAGAATGTTCGATAATCCAAATTTTATCGCAGTTCTTTGGCTTAATTATTTTTCAGTATTTTTCCTGGCCAATCTTACCATATTCATCAACCAGAAGTACATATAGAAACTGTGGTAGGTATAACTAATATCACAGATTACTTGCATGCATTCAAGTATAAGTGGTATCTGGCGTTTTAGAAAGAGTAAATGAGGACAATATTATTGTCAGATTTATCTAATGACTTTCTGTGTTGTTTTACTTGATCGCGTATTCTTCTCAATGCTGATGTTTCGCCCGATTCAGATTAAAAACTGTTTTTATCAGACCGTCGGACCTGGTCCAAGGCCTCAAAGAGGCTAGGGGCCCCGATTTGAAAATTAATAGATCTATATTTTTTTTCAAAAATAAATAATAAACTTCATCTTCGTTTCCAGTTAAAAGTGATCTATGATGAGTCGGGTGCTAGTTTCGTTTTCTCATCATGTCACGTATTCCTCCCCGCAAGAAAAACAGTTGGATCGAGGACCCAGAGCTACCCTGTTGCGATCAAATTGATTTAAAATGCCTTTGATCTTGAATCCCGACCCAACTTCATATTTGAGTCGTGAATTGCAACTTACGCAGCACTTGGTGGGTAATAACTGATTTTGAACACCACATTTTAATTAGTTCCTATCTATCATTATTAAAATGATTATCCTGCTCCAAAAACTAATATGTATAAAATGTAAATTTAAATTAACTGGTGTGTGAAATGAAATGAAATGGGGTTTAACGTCCTACTGTTCTGCTCCGACTATGCTAAGACGGGCATGCCCCATGCAGTGTGCTATGAGGGGAAATTTTGCCTGGGAAGCGGCACTGTGGTCTATTCTTATATTGAATTTCAAATGCAAAGGTATCTTTTACGTGCACGCCAATGTGTACACGGGACCCCATGCAGTTTTCGTACCACCCGAACAACTAGACAGCTGTTCATGTCAGGTCCTTCATACTGCACCACGTCGGAAAATCCCGATGAACTTTCTCGGTCAATGCAGGGATCGAACACGCGACCTCCACACTAGCGAGCCAGCATCTTGTCCACTCAGCCACCCGTACTAGTATGTATAGAGCAGATTTGCCATCGAAAACAATAAAAACAATTGATAGCTATCAATTATTATTCGAATGTGCCATAAAATGTAATTGAAAAGTAATTCAAATGTGACTGATCATTACATGATTTATTATAAGCATTTTACAAGTGATATATGGACGCGAAATCAGTTTGAATATAAACGTTATTATTATTATTATTATACCAAATTACACACAAAACAGAATACACCTATAAACCTATATGTGACAGCTTTTGACATATTAATAAGTCGTAATAAAAGGTTCATTACACTCCAGTTTTAGGAAAAATGTGTTAAAGGGGTATTTCTATAAATCTTATCAAAAACTTCTGTTGACAACGGAAGAGGTGTCATTTAAGCAAAATTCTCCAGGAAAATTAAACATGACTATAGTCTATATTTTGTTGACAGTGGAAGAAACGCCACGTTGAGAGAAAAAAATTAATGTCATGTTGGTAAAAAAAAAAGAAGTAACATAATGTTGAGAAAAAAGAAATAACGTCAATCAAATTTTGTGGAAGCCAATTAAATTTAAATAAAGGTATTATTGTTCGTATCAACATGTAAATGTATATCTTTTTTGTGTAATGTATGTGTTTCTGGGGCCTGTTTCACAAACTTTTAACTAAGATAAAATCCAGATTTTAGTAATTTAATTGGATAATATTAGATTGATTTTAGTATCTACTAAAATACTTGATTGAAGTATCTACTAAAATTTGGATTTTATCTTTTAGTTAAAATTTCGTGAAACAGGGCCCAGTTTTATAAGCCTGTGTATGCATGATGCATTTTAAACACTATCTTATTGTTAGTATTTATCAGCAGTTTCTTTATTGACAGGAAATATGTGTGAACATTATGTTAATATATTCATCGCACTGTTTGGGGTTATTTTCAGATTACCTTAAATCTCTTATCGCCCTCCGATCTCAAAATAGCAACCTGCTTACACCTTTTTATCCTTTCACATCTTATGGTAAACGCTCCTTTTTCTACGGGAGCCACGGTGGCTAGGTGGTTAAGACGCTGGCTCGCTAGCCTGGAGGTCGGGTGTTCGATCCCTGCATTGGCCGAGAAAGTTCATCTGGATTTTCCGACGTGGTTTCCCCTTGTCAGTGGTGCAGAACAGAGGGTCTGACAAGGACAGCTGTCTAGTCCTTCGGATGAGACGAAAAACCGAGGTCCCGTGTATACATTAGAATGCACGTAAAAGATCCCTTGGCAGTTGGAATTCGATATAAGAGTAGGCGATAGTGCCGCTGCCCGGGCAAAATTTCCCTCATAGCACACTGTATGGCGTATGCCCGTCTTCATTAGCCCAGGTTAGGAGCAGAACAGTAGGACGTTAAACCCCATTTCATTTCATTTCATTTCCTTTTTCTACGCTTCTCCTTTTCTGTGGAATACCTAACCCCTCAATATTAAACTATCTGATAGCATTGAAAGTTTTAAACGCAATTTAAAAACACACCTTTTTGTTGACTACTATGGCTTTTAATGCAGGTATCCGAGTTCATTGTATACTGTTTTAGGCGCTGTTCTATTTTATTCTTTATTACTTTTAGCTATTTTAATTTGTTTATTACATGTCATATTTTATTATAATCTTTACTATACCATATTTTGATTATTATCGTATGCCATTTTAATTTCTTTTATCATCCATTTAATTTTATTTTATTTGTTCTATGTGTGATGTCCACAAAATGTTAACTGCGCCATTGAGCAGTATTTTATATTGGTAATAGGCGCATTATAAATAAATTATTATTATTATTATTATTTATTATTATTATTTTACTTTATGACCAAAAGTCAGAGAATGTATACATTATTAAAACATGCATGTGCAATTTATAACTTTGAGTAGTGTAAATAACTAAAATACCTCAAAATGTCTGATTCACAAGTGACAAATTTGTGAAAATAAGAATAATAAAAAGATGTGTAGAGTGAACTAAGCAGGCGCAGACGAAATGGGGTTTAAAGTCCTACTTTTCTGCAAAACGCTATAATTGGACTGTTGCCTATTTCACCGAACATAATTGATTAGAAATTACACTGACAATTTATATTAAAAGAAAGGGGTGTAAATCACTTTATATTCACTCAGAATACATTAACATGTGCTTTTAGACCCATATTCGTCTCTTTAAGAATATACAAAATTATGTATATTTTACTTTAAATGTTATAGATATTTTTATAGCCTCTTATAAAAATATCTTTAACATCTGTCAACTACATTAAGCGGGTAATTCTGAGATTAACAATATCCCGCCACCCGCCCGTTAAGTTTTAAACGCCCACATTCCATTATTTGTGTACTATGTAGTCACACATGTCGGTCGTTGGACCGTCAGTAGTTGGCGTACCCATGTCGGTCGGACCGTCAGCAGCAGGGGCGAATCCAGAAATTTTTGCAGGAGGGGGTTTGCCAGGTTCCTGAGACAATGTATCCCTCCCACCGCTCCCGCATGGTCTCTATCGTCATTTTGGCGTATATACATACACATTGAGCTTTTTAAACAGAGAAATTCAACACCTCGTTTGACGTCAATTTTTATTATGAATTAATACAATGACATTGTGATTCAATTTCATGGATGCAAAGCATTAATTGTGATATCACAATGTCTATATCATTATCTCGTGCTTTGAGTGCCCATCCTGTCCCACATCTGATGATAAAGCCGAGAAACCTTTCTCATAAAAATGGTTGATTTACAAAAAATAAAATATGTAGCTGAGCAGGGGGGGGGGGAGTCGACCCCCCCCCCCTGGATCCGCCCCTGCAGCAGTTGGCGTGTTAACGCGATAGAGACTATTGTTTTCAACGGATTTGGTGTGAAGCATTGGGTTCATGAGAGGACGAATCCTGCCGAGGTTCAGCACTCTGCGGCCTTCCGCTCCGGGGGTACTCCGCTTTTCCATCCAAACACCTTGTGTGAATTAGGTGTGAGGCATTAGGACTGTGAGAGGATGAACTCTATTGTCAAATTTGGCACGAAGCATCAACACCGTTTACATTACAAATTTAAGCGCACAGGGAGCGGTTCCGGGAACGGTTATTGTATGGCATTGTAAACGGTTAAATTTGTTGATTTTTGTCAGGGTCTGGAACGATTCGGGGAACGGTACGTGTTACGTGTCCAAAAAATCTCGTGAACACGATAGACATAAGGCAATTATCAAATTTAGTCAACATCCAAGTTTTGCTTTCGGATAAGCTGCTGAAGATGGCTATCTTTTTTATTGACACATAGCTGTGGTTTGTATGTATTAAGACCCTCTGTGTGGCTAACTTTATTTTAACTTTACTGGTCTTTCTTTAGGCCTGAAATGTTATCTAAATTATTAATTAGACTTCCATTTATGATTAAATCATAAAGCGGATAATCGAGACTATGTTTTTTTTTATCATATCGAATTTTGTAATGATGATAGAGGATAGGCCGAAAATTCAATCGCTAAAATCTCGGTTCAGCTGTCAGCTCTTTATCTAATCTCCCATGATGTATCTTTCAGTTAAACAGTGGCAGTCTGGATATGGTGATGGTCACCAGTATTGTTGGTGGTAGGCGTCAATTGAAAATGACCTGATCGCACTGTTTCCTCGAATCTTCACGTCTGTGTAACACCCATTCGTGAATTCACAGAGAACCTACTTCCTTCTTCCAAGGGCATGAACCAGTAAGTGGCAGTACGAAACGGGTTTTGAGTGCTGAATCCACGGTACGTTTCAGAGTAAACATATAAGAGTTATGTCCCCTTCTCAATCAATTTCCTCGTTGGCTAAACGTTTACGTACGGCGATAAAATTTAAAGGGGAAACAGAGAAACGTTCAAAATCGTTCATGGCGTATTTCAATAGGTTTCATTAACGTTTATACGGTTGGCTATATATAATGAACTTTCGCGAGTTTGGTTTCAGTGTATCTGAAGAAGTCTCGTCGAGTTATTTCAACCATCGGCGTTGTAGTTTTAGGAATGTTATGGAATATGTTCTCTTTGCGTTTGCATTATCAATGGTCATGAGGATTAGGCCTATTTAATTATCTGTGAAATGGAAAAACAGGGACCTGAATCTGTGTTACCAAAACATTCCCTGAAGCGCAAAATGGACGACTTACAGGAAAGCCCCTGTTATGTGCCCAAATATAAACTTTTGACGATTCACCACGTCGATGATAAAACCAACTCGGTATTATTGGAACGTTGTCATTCCGAGAACACAGCAGACTGTGACAGGGAGTTCATTGAAACTCTGCATACAAAATACAAGCCTCAAAAACCTAAATATGCAAATAAGTTATTTACAGGATTTTCTTGGAACCGTTATAACAGAACACACTATAACAGCGACAGCCCCCCCCCTCCTAAAACAATACATGGTTATCAGTTTAATATATATTATCCCAATCTTATATATAATACTATAATCCCCACTTACAGTTTAACCCCGATTCCTGATGATCCTGGATTTCTAGTTCTAAGGTTTTCAGCTGGACCACCTTATGAAGACATAGCATTTAAAATATTGGATAAAGAATGGGACAAGTCGTATAGAAATGGATATAAATGCCAATATCGTCGAGGTGTATTGGAACTTTGGTTCAAGTTTAAAAGACATATATATCGGAGATAATTGGATCTTTTTAAAGCCTGTGATTTTTCTTTTAATTGTGCTTAAATCTCGATGTGTTATACTATTACAAGGTAAACAAAACTTTAGTTTGCTCGTCTGGAGAAATACAATACTCAAATAGATGCAATTTTGAACTGCATATTACACTTCGGGGGCTAGCACCAAGAAATGCCGAATAATTTGATTACTAAAAGTAATATTTTAAAGATTCAATATTTCTTTGTTTATTTTAATAAATATAACGGGTGTGAAAAAAAAACAAGTAGTTGCTTTTTATTCTGCAAAAAACATTTAAACAGACAACGATTGAAAGAACAAAAATGTTCGATTTATCAAAGCGGTTTAGAAGCTGTAAGCACTGGTTAAATCTTTCGTTCAGAAATATTGTCGTTGTTTTACAGTCTGATTCGCTGTTAATATCTCAGTACTGTGATTTTGACTCTCTCAATTTTGAAGCTTTAATTATATATACTGTATTTACTGCCAATAAGGGACAATATAAACGAAGTTAGTCTTACACAATATGGTTAGTTATTAAAACATAGTTTGTGGGTTTTATTGTGTCAAATACTCTACTATAAAATCCTGTAAGTCTGTCAATAATGGTTTAGTACCTCCAGTGCCGGATTTACCTAAGGCTTGGTGGGCTGAAACCTAGGGCCTCCGTATTTAAGGAGGCCTCCGACAAAGGGGTATAACACTTTTGACAATGGCATACGTCCATCTTACACGGCATGTACAGTATTCTTAATAATCCTCGACTTTGCACACTTGTGTTCAAAACACACTTTTATCGTCCTCTAGTCGTGAGGGTGGTTGTTAGTAGGGGCTTCATAAGTGGGGCCTCTCTACACCCCGTAGGTGTTCTTATGCAATAAAATTTACTTTACATCTAAATCTCTCATTGAGTATCTTAGTTTAATTTCTTATGTTGTAATCCAAAGTCGTAGTTTTTATGCCATTCTTTGACGTTTTGCTCGGTTTCGCTTTGTATTCATTGCAGGTGGCATTTCAATAATGTATGATTTAATTCCCAACAGAAAAATGTCCTACAAGTAAGCCCATTTTTTAAAATATATCTGTAGAAGACAATGTATAGACTAGAACATATACATGTATATGGAACAACGTGCACTGGTTTAGAAACACGCTATGTTTCGACGATGGTACTTTCAGATTTATCCAGCAATTGATAAAGCCCTTAATACAATCGTCAGAACGTTGCATGTTAATAAACCAGTAATTATTATTATATATATTCATAATCCAGAATGATGCAGTAGGGCGTTAACATTGCAATGGAGGTGTTGTTCTGTCCATTATGAGTTTATCATTAATAAATTAGATATCACTGTCCGAGTTTGATTCATCGGATTCGCTGTCATTTATTAGCTGAAAGCCTTGATTAAGCCCATCACCGTCATCAATGTCATTGTTTTGTACATTGTCGTTTGGGTCCTGTTGATGTGAACTTGTATCTGTAGTCGGCGTTGGTCCGGTAATATGCTGATGACACATAGGGCAAGATTCTTTTACATACAACCATTTTCTCAAACACACACCGTGGAAATAATGTTTACAATATGTTATTCTAGCTGATTTCATTTCTTGGAAACATATTGAACACACATCATTGAATTGCTCCAGTTGTTCTTGAGTGGCTAGTGGTAATGATTCAACTTTTTTCACGGCCTCCCACCGCAAAAGGAAACTTTTCCATCCACTTTGGAGTCTTTGCCAAACGTTGAAATAACAATGAATTAAGAGAATTGAAGAATTTACCCAACTCCACTCCCCCAGCAACGATTCTTTTAAACCATAGCACACTACAAACACTGCTACAAGGAATTCCAAAACACGTGTACAAGAGCGTGCCCAGTAAATGACGTCATCGAGTGATTCCCACGGTTCGCTGCGTAACGAGTCGTATATGAACAACGAATAAACAACCAGCGATCCAATGACTTGAACGGAAGTTAACAAACAACTGGATATAATTACCATTAACCAAAAGTCTAAATCAAAATACTGACAAATCATGTAGCTCATAAACAGTGGAAATATCCACAAAAATGTACAGAGTGCGACGGCGCGGACGTGTCTAAAATATCGTCGATTATGAGAGGCACTTAATGATAAAAGAACTGGATCAGCTATCTCGTACATTGACTGAATCAGGGACGATAACACAATAAAAAGTAAAATGCTCATCAAAAAAGCTCTCTGCATCGGTGTTAAATCTAACAGATCCGTCTGCACAGCAATCAACAACATTGTAAACCCTTCAGTCCAACCTCGTGCGGCATCGTTTTCCAGGGGGTGTGCTTCCCATCCTTGTAAATAAAATTTCGTTAAAGTCAATATGCCGTACGAGGTATATGATATGGTCACACAAAATGCGAACAAACTGACGGGAGTGGCGCAACATTCTCCGAGTCCAGCTAATATTAATACCAGCCACCCATCATCGTAGAATCGCCCTTTATCCGCGGTAAAATACGTATATAGCTGACTTGTAAACATTAATGTCCAGAACAACAACAACTGAATTGGTAGGGCCACAGAGTGCCAAAATGTTAGGGCCACAGGGATAGGCCCAAAAGTTTTCACTGCAAAATATACTTGATTTATGCCATCTTTACAAATATCTATGATATTTCCTAAATTGTTGAATAAATAAAATAAAACCATCAAAGAAGTAAACACGGAGGCAAAGTTATGTACGACATAGAGCAAATCAGTTGGGAAACCGGTCAAACGAGCGAATACAGGTGTTGTAAAGATGAGCAAAAGAAATTTAGCCCAATTATTCATGTCTACAAGATAAGCAATTAATGCTGAAATAAAGCACTGAGCTAACAGATGTAGTACCATTCTTTCTAAAGTTTGTCTGTTCTCAAATAAAGTTGTCAGACTCAAGGCTTCAGCTTCTTGACTTTCATTTTCAACAAACAATGAAGAGAGAAGATAAGAGCCTAGTAACATGATACAGCTTACAAGATACATATAAAACGTCACTAACTGTTTTAATGGCAGGGTGGCTATAGCTATAGCAAGAACAAATACTGAAAATGAAAGAATAAAAAATATACATGTAGCTAATGAGTGACAAACATTCTTAGTTCTGCAATAAAGGTAGGGATGTGATCATTTAAAGTTAAATGGCTGTCTTTATTAATACAATATTGAGACGGCCATTAAATGGTAATTTCTATTGTTACATGTATATGCCATGTAAAGTTCGGAAAAATTTATCAGGGCAGCAAATGACTGCCATCTCCTCATCTTCAAATTCCAACTGCAAGGAGACTTTAACATGTATTCTGGACCTCATTTTGGGGGTCTAATTTGATTGACCCAGTGCCGGGTTAATAAAGTATGTAGGCTTGGTAGGCTGATACCTAGGACCCAAGATCATAAGCCTTTCTTCTAAATCCAGCACGGGATAGACTATTCACAGTTATAATGTCAACTGCACAGGCCTTACCCTTAATCCTTAAAAATAGTGAAAATGCCCCAATAAAGGTAAGATTATATCTGAGCCTACTGTACCTAAATGATATATAACAGGTATTATTATTTCTGTATCACTTGTAACTTCAAATGTTTTTAATGGATCAGTTTTATACCAGACTTCTAGAATGAATAAAGCTGGAGTTCGCAGAATAATGCCAACTCCCATTTCTGCCGTTTTACGTGATATTTTCCATGGAAGTGCCATCTTTGTTGAATTTGTTTTTGCCTGCAACTTCTTTTGTATCTGAAAGATAAAACTTAATAAATTAATTAATAATTAATCTGTATGTTGTCTGTACATTAACCTAGCAAAGTAGGGTTCTGTATAAACATGACAGTGTGAGAGTAGGGTAAATATTATGATACAAGACTATGTAGTAAGATATCCGTGTGGTTTAAAGTAGTGTTTGCATGTATTGAGGACTAAAGCCAGCCTCCAAGTATTTACAGTATCAGGAGGAGGGGGAGGTCTAGAGGTCGAATGCGTGTGCGTGAAATCACAAGGTCTGTCATTGAGTCAAGTGGCATAGTTTTGATTCTACCCTTGAATGTGACAAGGAGTATGGTCGCCTGTCCAACCTCGTGGGTTTTCTCTGCGTCCTCAGCTTTCCTCCCACTGCTAAAGACACCTACGCACAAGTGAATTTTTGAAATAATATTGAAAGAGGTGTTAGTAGTGAAATGACCTACTTTGTGTCGAAAGGACGTTAAACCCCATTTCTCTCTCTATTTCCAGTATCAGGCCTATCCAACTGTTACAGTTTGGGAATGCTAAATGTTCAGTAACATGTTTCAGTAATTTCTAGGTGCAAGAATAAATTCAGATTGTTCCTCCTATAATTGGTTGGAAGCCATCCAACCCTTGCCTTTTTTGTGCTAGGCAATTAACTATCCTGGCCTACATGTATACATTTTGGTTTTCATAAATTTTTAATCGAAAAGGCCTAAATTTTATCAGACTGAGACAGTGTATGAAAAATGTACAATAATGACATTGAGTTACACAGACATAATCATAACATCGTTCATAACTTGACATTATATAGGCTACAAATCATAAGTAAAACCTAGTGTCTGCCCTGGCCAGCTGTTAACATCCTCAACCCGTCAGCACACTGCTAGCCTATAGGTCTTAACATGACAAAGACCCAATACGTGTATAATGTTGACGAGTTCATTTGCCCGATGTTTAAATATATGTTTACCCTCGTGATTTGATCGTCCGGTGCCCGTGATGCTTGAATCGAGTTTAGGACGTCATCACTCACAGAAACATCGTGTAACAAGACCAGTTTAAGATGATGTCACACATAATGACAGTGACAAAGTTTCTTCACAATCGGTGCATGGTTAACAGTTTCAGCAAATAAAACAAGAAATTGATAATTAAATAAAAATAGACACCAGTGTTTAAATCTACAGAATACTTCTAAAAATCATGCTGTTTCAACAGCCAATGTTTACTTCCGTTTATAAATTGCACATAGGATTATCCAGACGTCTTCAATTCATGACCAATTTGAGAGTAATAAGAGGCTGGACGATCGAAAGTAAATCGGTTTTTATATAATTACCGTTTTAACAGTTTTAAAACGAAAAGAAATATATTTAATTTTTTTTTTCGATGCAATTCGTGTATAAATATGTAGTTATATTTCATAGAATCAAATAATTCATTAATAGCTCTTTTTAGTACAGCATTCAAAATTACTTGTGAGCTTGTTAAATTAAACAAAAAGATCTGAACCGAATATCACGAAATTATGGGGTTACAAAACAAGAGTTATTTACCTTTACTCGCGTTCTGACCTCACCTCACTTTTTTCTAAAGTCGCTCCAGTTGATAATGAAAAAACAATTCACCCTAGATTTATATTCCTGATTTAATCAATTCTTAAGAGAGAAAGGGAAATGGGGCTTAACGTCCACTCGAAACAAACTAGACAATTTAGGCCTTCGGGACGGACTAAATTTTCAAAAAATAAATTCAAAGTTAAAAAAAGATACGGTAATGGGAAAGCCTAAGAAACAGATAACATTTTTTGGAGTTTTGAATATTTATTAACGGTAGGCTTATGACAGAGAGAGAGAAATGGGGTTTAACGTCCACTCGACACAAACTAGGTCATTTCGGGACTAACATATGGTTTAATTTTATTTCAATAATTCGCTTGCGCATAGCGGTCTTTAGCAGTGGGAGGAAACCGGAGGACCCGGAGAAAACCCACGAGGTTGGACAGGCGCCCCTACTCCTTGTCACGTACAACCGGGGATTCGAAACCACGCCAGTCGACTCAATGATACAGCGCGCGCACGCTAACCATTCAGCCATCCAACCCCCCTAGGCTTATGACAGTTTGGAAAAATAAATTTCTATTATCTCCTAAAATATTTGTTGTTGCCACAGCAAGTCAGATCGTTCAAACCTCTCAAAAGTCATGATAGGATTTGTTCTATTTTAATGTAAAGACTTGCTATTAAAACATATCCCCGTATCCTACCTATATAAATAATAAAAAAAAGAAAAAAAAAGAAAAAACAAAAAATAACGGAAATGGACTAGTTTGAATGAAAAAGATCTAATTATTATGACTTTTGTGACCGAGGGGTCCTTCACATATTACAAGAGTCTGGAATGGTTCTTCAAATCTTTAATACTGGAAACTTATAATAATAATTATCTACATACACTTACAGGACCGCGGATAACCGACTAGTACCTAATGCTACTATGTCGGAGACCTAAAGACTGCCGTATAAAGTACAATCACATATTTATATGGAATTACTTCTAATCACTTGTCGGGATCAAGTGTTGACATAAATAAGTATTGATGTAATAATGTACAATATAAGAAATAAAACAATGGTAAATAATACAATTAATAGATTAATCATACGATTGGCATAACAGTGTTACGTTCTATCTCTCTGGTGGTGTAAAATTCAAATGGCCAAACGTTAGACTTGAAAAATAGTTAAAGAGTTGGACAGTACTATTATTTACTTTATTCAATCCGATTAAGCCATACACTAGGCCTACCTATTATAGCATTTACACCACACCATGATATTAATTATTGACGTTGAAAACTCGGAGACCTTTACCATAGATTCTACGTGTATATTTTTAGCTTTCGTAATGAATACGGATTCTATCATGTAAATAGGAGATGATTTCCATCAGGCAAGGTAATGAATGAACAGACGAACCAATCTATAAATCGATTGTAGGAGAATCAAGGTCACCTAAAGTGACCAAGAAGTTAGTAACGAATCATTTCATTGGATGTTATCTCGGTCAATCTCAAGAATACTAGACCTACCTAATATTCTTACTGACCAAAGTCACGTGTAAATAATTTTACTGTAGCACCTGTTAACGAATTATAACTGTATATATTTTTGTATATACACGTGTAAGTATTAGGTTAGAATTACACTACTATAGTATTTGCTACGTGTAAACCACAAATTCCTACATAACCAAACGCCCATATATAACAGCAGACTAGTCGATTTGTAACTTTATTACCATGATTTTAATTCATCATTTAACTAAAACTGTTCAACACGTGTGATGCATACTTTGATATTTCAAAAAGCTAATATCATTAAGAAAAATATAGAGGAAGAGGGAGGAAAGGAAAAATAATGTTAAAGCCAGTTTATAACAAATATATAATTAGCAAACCTTTTCTATGGGTTTGCGTGTAAAAAGTGAAGAAGGCAGCACAGTCACTAATTGAAAAGGACGACCTCTTTGAACCCATTAAACATAGTGTCATAGCTTGATTTTAGAGATGTACATCTTATGTGTGATAAATCTGTTGCAATCACAAATCTAGAGATACATTAGAAATCATTTTGTTTTCAGTATTCCACGGTTCAAATAAAATGAAATAAAATGGGGTTTAACGTCCTGTTTCGATGGTTCAAACCAAACTGGAAAAATAGTAATGGGACCGACATGACAAATGAGGCGTACAAAGCGTGACCCACATAACAAAATCCGAAACGCAGAATCCAATAATTTTTGTTGAACTAGTTTAAAGAGATCCGGCAGCACCCTTTTAGCATAACAAATTTTGTAAACAATCTTGCTGAATATTTGGACCAGTTGTTCTCTCTCTATATATAAAGTAAGATTTTTAAAGCTTTGCGTTGCTACCTTTAAACATGCGATATCAACTGTTATAAACCATCCAGAATTCACTAAGGGTTAAACATATTATTACTCGTTAAACATGTTAAAATATTACAGTCAGCTCTGCCTGTTGTGAATTCATCACTGTTTAAAGATAGAAGGCAATAAAATGTAAAAAAAAACCCTGTTTATATGATGTTAAAATGTTGTTTTCTTCTCCACTCTTTTTGTCCTATAAACTATATATACCCCAGGTTTTATTTGTTAAAACAGCAATAAACTTACAATCAGGATAGTCTCATATCGCCAGCATTAGTTGCCAAACAACACCATTCCCGTTGGGTAAATGTCGCTTGTTTTTCACAATTCCCTCATTACCTTTTCTATTGAAGTGAGAGAGGGAGAGAGAGAGAGAGAGGAGAACGGAGGTACGTTCACTCGACACATACTAGGTCATTTCCGGACTAACACGTGGTACGCTTGCGCGTAGGGGTCTTTGCCAGAGCGAGGAAACCGGAGGAAAGTCCGGGGACAGCGGGGAAAGCCTACGAAGTTGGAGAGGTGACCCATACATCCTGTCACTTACTATCTTGGGAATCGAAACCAACCACGCCACTTGGCTTTGTGACATAATAAAGGGCACATGATAGACCACTCTAACCACCCACCCCGCCCCTCACACACACCTTTGGTATGAAACGCCAGAATTAATTCAAGAATTGATCACAATGTTTAGAGTGAAAGACAGAAAGACCTCCGTAAATTTGATAAAGACCCCCCCCCCCCCCCAATAAAAAACAACAACCCCCCCCCCCCCAAAAAAAAACCCCCCAAAAAACCCCAAAAAAACAAAACAAAAAAACCTCCCAAAAAAACCCCCAAAAAGCCCACAAAAACATAACAGTGATTTTAGTCTCTTAAGGAGTTGTTTAACTAAAAATATTCAAGTTTATAGTAATGACCCAGGAGCCCTGTTATTGATTTCGTATGTTTCAATACTTGAGTATATATACGTGATTTTTCAGCAAATAGTGTACCCAATAACATCATATATTATAATTTACAATGTATTATTCATATATGTATAGATCTACATGGTACACGAACACTCATTGATGAGATTTGTGGAGATTGAAGTGTACCCAATCGAACTATGACGTTTCCAGAGCTAATTTTCCACGCAAGTTAATTCTGTACCCAATAACAGTTGATATAAAAGATAAATATGGTATAAGTATTTTTATACTGATGTATACATGTATATATACTATAAAGGCTTGTAGTTGATGTATGTGTGTGTGGGTAGGTATAATTCGTACTATAATTTGATATATTCCCATGTAAGCTATATTTATAACCGGGCCGACTGCATTCACACATGTGCTAACCCTTTATGTTTATTACATTTTAGGTCAAATGTTCTCATTTTGTGTAATTACCACACGTGGGGGTGAAGCAAGGGTACATGGGAGTCAGCTGTTGAAATATATACATACATACCAGTTTTGCATGGCTAGAAAATTGGAGAAAGCTAAGAACAGTATAATATACATGTAGATAGAGTTTATTAAAAATTTCAAAAATAATCTCTGAAAAGCACAGTTATAATAATGATATGCAATATTTCTAGTGATGAAAATCCACTAAAATATATTATTTTAAGGAAAGGTATAGTTTTAATCAACGAATGTTCGTTTATATTTACAGCGAACACAAATCGACATAGATTCATATAATCTTTTGTCAGGCCGACCTTTCTCTCGCATGAGATAAATATTCGGTGAAAAAAATAACCCATTTAATATTAAAAAAATCTGTCGTTGGCCTTGACCTTACGTTTACTACGCTGATGAATTGAAAATCGGTGTGCCCCCCACCCCACCCGACAGGTACTTT